TATAAAAAATAATGTATGCACTCACTAACTGTAAGTCGCTCTGGATAAGAGCGTCTGCTAAATGACGTAAATGTAAATGTAAGAAAAAAAATTTTGGGGGGGGGGGCACACGGTGTGGACGACGAGGCAGCAGGAGGCCGCGACAGGGCGGATCTGCTGGTTAGGAGAGGAGGCCACCATATTACGGGGGCTATTGGTTCAGAGGGAGCAGGAGGTATTCGGTCAGAGGGAGGCGCTACAGGAGGCTAGAAGGGAGAAGGAAAGAGTAGAGGCACGGCGAGAGGAGCTGGTTGGCAGCAGAAGGAGCGGGGGTTAATAAAGGAACCCAGTCCTGCTCCTCGCACCAAGCAAGTGGTGCGTGTCGCCAGTCCGGTCCGGCCCGTTCCTGCTCCCCGCACCAAGCCAGAGGTGCGTGTTCCCAGTACGGCCCGGCCCGTTCCTGCCCCTCGCACCAAGCCTGTGGTGCGCGTCGCCAGCCCGGCCCGACCTGTTCCTGCTCCTCGCACCAAGCCAGTGGTGCGCGTCGCCAGCCCGGCCCGGCCTGTTCCTGCTCCTCGCACCAAGCCAGTTGTGCGCGTCGCTTGCCCGGCCCGGCCTGTTCCTGCTCCTCGCACCAAGCCAGTGGTGCGCGTCGCCAGCCCGGCCCGGCCTGTTCCTGCTCCTCGCACCAAGCCAGTGGTGTGCGTCGCCAGCCCGGCCCGGCCTGTTCCTGCTCCTCGCACCAAGCCAGTGGTGCGCGTCGCCAGCCCGGCCCGGCCTGTTCCTGCTCCTCGCACCAAGCCAGTGGTGCGCGTCACCAGTCCGGCCCGGCCTGTTCCTGCTCCTCGCACCAAGCCAGTGGTGCACGTCGCCAGTCCGGCCCGGCCTGTTCCGGCTCCTTGCACCAGACCAGTGGTGCGTTTGTCCAGTCCGGCACGGCCCGTACCCGTTCCACCGGTGCCTGGTCCGGCACCGGTCAGCTGCTCCACTCCGGAGCCAGAGCAGTCCGCTCCACCGGTGCCTGATCCAGTTCCGGTCAGCTGTTCCACTCCGGAGTCAGAGCAGTCCGCTCCACCGGTGCCTGATCCAGCTCCGGTCAGCTGCTCCACTCCGGAGCCAGAGCAGTCTGCTCCACCGGTGCCTGATCCAGCTCCGGTCAGCTGCTCCACTCCGGAGCCAGAGCAGTCCGCTCCACCGGTGCCTGATCCAGCTCCGGTCAGCTGCGCCACTCCGGAGCCAGAGCAGTCCGCTCCACCGGGGTCCAGTCCAGCTCCGGTCAGCGGCTCCACTCCGGAGCCAGAGTAGTCCGCTCCACCGGTGCCTGATCCAGCTCCGGTCAGCGGCTCCAGTCCAGACCATGACGTCAGCCCCTCTCCAGGTTCGGGGTCTCCCACACCAGGGTCCAGACAGGGTCTGGCATATCGTGGGAGGAAGGAGAGGGGAAGTAGCGCGCCGAGGTCCAGACCAGACCAGGGGCGCAACAGGGAGGCGGAGAGTGAGAGGTCGTCACGCCCCGATCCAGATCCGCCTCCGAGGCGGAATGCCCACCCGGCCCCTACCCTGTTATGTTTATGTTGTGCGGTCGGAGTCCGCACCTTTGGGGGGGGGTACTGTCACGCCCTGACTCAGGGGACTCTTATATGTTGGGTCAGGGTGTGTATATTCTTTGTTGTGTATCTTCTATGTTGTATTATCTAGTGTGTGTATTTCTATGTTGGCAGGTGTGGTTCCCAATCAGAGGCAGCTGTCGCTCGTTGTCTCTGATTGGGGACCATACTTAGGCAGCCTATTGGCACGGTCTAGTTGTGGGATCTTGTTCCTTGTAAGGTATGTTGTGTGTTCTACCTTGGACTTCACGTTTAATTTCCTTTGTTGTTTTGTCGTGGTGTTTAATAGTTTAAATAAACATGTACGCATATCACGCTGCGCCTTGGTCCGTCCCGTCATTCAACGAACGTGACAGAGAGACAAAAAAAATCCAGAAAAACGCATGTAAAAAATGTTATAAATTGATTTGCATTTTAATGAGGGAAATAAGTATTTGACCCCCTCTCAATCAGAAAGATTTCTGGCTCCCAGGTGTCTTTTATGCAGGTAACGAGCTGAGATTAGGAGCACACTCTTAAAGGGAGTGCTCCTAATCTCAGTTTGTTACCTGTATAAAAGACACCTGTCCACAGAAGCAATCAATCAATCAGATTCCAAACTCTCCACCATGGCCAAGACCAAAGAGCTCTCCAAGGATGTCAGGAACAAGATTGTAGACCTACACAAGGCTGGAATGGGCTACAAGACCATCGCCAAGCAGCTTGGTGAGAAGGTGACAACAGTTGGTGCGATTATTCGCAAATGGAAGAAACACAAAAGAACTGTCAATCTCCCTCGGCCTGGGGCTCCATGCAAGATCTCACCTCATGCAGTTGCAATGATCATGAGAACAGTGAGGAATCAGCCCAGAACTACACGGGAGTACCTTGTCAATGATCTCAAGGCAGCTGGGACCATAGTCACCAATAAAACAATTGGTAACACACTACACCGTGAAGGACTGAAATCCTGCAGCGCCTGCAAGGTCCCCCTGCTCAAGAAAGCACATATACAGGCCCGTCTGAAGTTTGCAAATGAACATCTGAATGATTCAGAAAACTGGGTGAAAGTGTTGTGGTCAGATGAGAACAAAATCGAGCTCTTTGGCATCAACTCAACTCGCTGTGTTTGAAGGAGGAGGAATGCTGCCTATGACCCCAAGAACACCATCCCCACCGTCAAACATGGAGGTGGAAACATTATGCTTTGGGGGTGTTTTTCTGCTAAGGGGACAGGACAACTTCACCGCATTAAAGGGACGATGGATGGGGCCATGTACCGTCAAATCTTGGCTGAGAACCTCCTTCCCTCAGCCAGGTCATTGAAAATGGGTTGTGGATGGGTATTCCAGCATGACAATGACCCAAAACACACGGCCAAGGCAACAAAGGAGTGGCTCAAGAAGAAGCACATGAAGGCCCTGGAGTGGCCTAGCCAGTCTCCAGACCTTAATCCCATAGAAAATATGTGGAGGGAGCTGAAGGTTCGAGTTGCCAAACGTCAGGCTCGAAACCTTAATGACTTGGAGAAGGTCTGTAAAGAGGAGTGGGACAAAATCCCTCCTGAGATGTGTGCAAACCGGGTGGCCAACCACAAGAAGCGTCTGACCTCTGTGATTGCCAACAAGGGTTTTGCCACCAAGTACTAAGTCATGTTTTGCAGAGGGGTCAAATACTTCTTTCCCTCATTAAAATGCAAATCAATTTATATATTTTTGTTGTTACTCTGTCTCTCACTGTTCAAATAAACCTACCATTAAAATTATAGACTGATCATGTCTTTGTCAGTGGGCAAACATACAAAATCAGCAGGGGATCAAATACTTTTTTCCCTCACTGTATCTACCTTAATTGCCTCGTACCCCCGCACATCGACTCAGTACTGGTACCCCGACTCAGTACTGGTACCCCGACTTAGTACTGGTACCCCGACTCAGTACTGGTACCCTGACTCAGTACTGGTAACCCAACTCGGTACTGGTACTCATTGTGCATTTTTCCTTGTGTTATTCTCTTTCTATCATTTTTCTATTTTTCTCTCTGCATTGTTGGGAAGGGCCCGTAAGTAAGCATTTCACTGTTAGTTTGCACCTGTTGTTCATGAAGCATGTGACAAATAACATTTGATTTGATGGATTTGATTTACAGTACATGTAGGCTATGCAGAAAACTATAAACTCAACACACTCATACAGTACAAGTGTTCACATAATTAAAGCCTGGTACAACACATAGTGTACATAGGCAAACACACGTAAAACAAACCCTCAGTCAAGGGCCATGGTCACCGGCTTGCATAACTTGTGAGGAGTGGGAGCAAGGGTAGGGGAGGGGAGGGCTGTGGGAGCTGACAGAGATTACTTGTCCTGGGCACAGACCACTGAGTCTGGAGTCACCAGCTGAGGCTTTCAAAACCTTCACCGCCCATTGGCTGCTCAAATGCTGCATTCAGACTTAACCCATCTGATTGGCCAGTTTGTGTCGAGTGGCGCTCAAAGCCACTCCCACTGATGGGAGAATTAATAAAATATAAGGAGGGGGAGGGGAGGGGAGAGAGGGAGAGTAGGGGACTATGACATTTAAAGCGACAGTACTCTTAATAATGCGATGGAATATTACCACTGCACAATCAAGTTATTACTATAACATTCAACAATTGTTTTTCTGTTTATTCAGTGAGCATATGTTCCTTATTCATGTGTTATTAAATGAATATAGGCCTAGAGAGGAAGGCAGATTGTAATGTTATTTTAGGGTTAAGGTTATATCTTGTTTTAACTGTTGCATCACTGGACTGAAGCTTGCTGGTCGACATAATTTATGTAGGCGTACTGTAAATCATTTTTCACCCATGAGAGATTGATCATGAATTTAGTTGCAATTCAATGTTTTAAATGCAAAATGTTTAACGCAATATGTTTGTATCTTCAGGGGGCACAAGAAGAGTCAAAACAATTTTCTCTGAGTTTGTAATATAACCAGAAAGACATTGTCTTTGTCCTGCTATCTCTTAGTCCATCAGGAATTAGTAATGATGAGGTTGACAGTGAATTTCCTGTCTATGCTGTCAAACAGCTTTCATCACTTTATTGGTCTCGCCCATCCTCACACACAGACTGGAGTCACTCCACAGGCCATTCACAGCTCTAGGATCAGTTTACCCTCCCCGCCACCAGCCGTAACCAGTTGGAGGGGAAACAAAACACTGACCTTAGATCAGCTTCTAAGGGCAACCCTATTCTACTCTATCAGAGCAGGTTGACTGCTTTGAGTAGGACTACCCAACCCATACCCAACCCCCACTCTGTTACCAGGACGCCCGGCTTGGATCTTGTGTAATATTCCAATTGGCCCTCGGTTGTTGAGGGCGTGGAAATGGGCGTCACTGGAAATATTGTGATATCACAATCAGCTGTTTTGTACGTTCTACATTCTGATCCGAGGATCAGCTGGAGGAAGCAATAACAGAGGGAAAATCTGCAGGGGAAAAATCGAACAAGAGGGAAAAACTACAGATGTTATGATCTGAACATCAAGTGTAAATTCTAGTTTTACACGAAGTCCCTTCTTCTAAGAAGAAAGCCTTTTTTTTTATTTTATATTATGGTGTTTTAACTACCTCACTTAAAAGGCTACCTAAAGCTATGCTTTAAGAATTGTTGTCGTTTCTACTTTGTGTGAGATCATCACGTTTACAACTTGAATTATATTGCTAATGCAGGTAAGCTATTAAATCTACTTTGCTGTTGTTTTTTGTGCTTTTTGGAAGGCAAACTGTGTAAGCTTGCAGGGTATCAGGCTACCTCTGCCACTGACGCCTGTATAGCCATCTATGATGATGCATAGCCTATCTCATAACAGAACGATGAAGAAAATGCTAATTAGGTTGTGTTATAAACAGATTAATTCTGAAACGAAACAATCAACATTATGACGGAATTAATCCATTGTAGTAGTGGCTGTCACAGAGGACAATGTATTGTCTCGTTAGTTCTGCATGAAATGAATTCTCGACTGTTATGCATCCTAGACATCCGTTTATAGGTCATGGAAATCTTGATGGCTTCCATAAATTGATGCTTTTACGGAAATCTCGACGTCCGGTTTATGATCTCACAGAATATGAAAATTATGTTTACATAAAACCTGTCCCTGTTTTTCGAATGAAGACGATGGGGGGGGGGGGGGGTATTTTTGAATTGTGCCTTTCTCTATGAATCATGTCATCAGTACTTATGTAGGCCTATGTATGGATTTTGACCGACCTCGATATTATAATCGATTCCTTCGCATCAGTCCTCTACTGGTGAGCCTATCTGTCATTGCCATGACCCTTCAGCTATCCATAGCGGTGTCACAGAGACTCGGAGCTTACACGGATAATTAATGTTTAACCTGACCGCTATCGACAAGGACTTATTCTGGGCCTTATTTTTCTCGTCGTCGGTGACATTGGGAAGGTTTTTGTCATCCAAATTACTTTCTGTCGGTCTTTGAATCAAATGTACACTGCTTGCTGTCGGCCCCATAAAATAATAAAACAAATATATGTTTTTCATTTCTCTCTCTCTCTCTCTCTCTCTCTCTCTCTCTCTCTCTCTCTCTCTCTCTCTCTCTCTCTCTCTCATCGGCATCTGTCATGTGGATTGAAGAACTCGAAACAAAGCAGTTAAGAATGTTGAATCATTCCTTTATTTATTACCAATGCTTGGGGGTTATTCTTTCTTTTGTATCCGAACAATTGCAGTTTAAATACATAAATAATTATTTGACGGCATCCGAATTGTTCCTTTTCTATTCGCCGCTGTTCTTTTTTCCTTTTGCTCGACTGAAGTAGGCTGAACCAGCAGCATCAGTGACGTAAGAGTCCTTCGTCATGCAAGCGCATAGGAGGTATTTATTTTTTATTCGCGAAGCCACTCCCATCTCCCTCAGCTCCTCCCTCTGTTTAAAAGGCCTTCTGACAGCCATGAGCAGAGAAATTATGAGGGCATCTGGGAACAGCAGAGCAACAGAGGGCTTTTGTTTTGTAGAATTAGGAAGAAAAAATAAAATCTATAATTGTCTACATCTGGTCTTTAACTATTTACTATGAGCTTATACTGGTTTATAACCAGTTTATAGCCAGTGGATCAGGGTGAAAAGCACACAAAATGCATCAATGTAATATGTATTTGTACACTGATTTAACACGTTTTATTATTTTTGCTATGTATAATAAATTATTAACTCAACAGGTACCTGGCAGGGCTGTAATTACCATACCATACATGCCATTAGTTTTGAATAACACATTTTTGTACATTGGTTCAATCTCCATTCCACACCATTTAATGTAGGGGCATGTTTCCTGTCACAATGGAATCTTTATGACCACAAGTAATAATTTAACAGGCACAGTAAACATTGTGATATCATCCAGATGATAAATGCCTTGTGTTGGTCTATAATATTTCCTGCTTAGTTTATACAGGGCAAAAATAGGGGAAACCTCTCGACATTTTACTTGGATGCATTTCCAATGTCTTTTTTCCTGTTTTCCCCACATATCAGTCCTTATATGGACCACCTGTGCCATGAGAGACCATTGCTGGCTGTTTAATGATATTTTCAATATGTTTCCAGTGCTGTTCTTGTCCCTGGTGTCGTCTGTCTGTCTTTCCCAATAGACAGAATGGTATATTTATACACCAGGCAGATAATACTGAATTAGCATCACAGCTGACTGATAACATTTGCTTATCAAGGAGACTGAATGGTGCTTCATACAGCTCCTTTAAAGGAAGTGTGTGTGTGTGTTCATGAATTGGGAACTCATAAAAAAGTGGTCCTGGGGCAGTTGAATATTCTTAGGAAGATTCCAAGTGGGCAAACTCACGTAAACACTTTTTAGAAATGTTTTATCTCCCATCATCCTGTGACTTCAGTAAGCCTTAAGGAATGCATGAAAAACAGTCAGGAAGGGAGCGGATCAACGGACTCCTCTCTGTCCTCTGCAACATCTCTCATATCTCCACCTAAACCATCAACATTAATGGAATTGGTAGCCTATCGCTTTATTTTACGAGCCTTCTTATGACGTTTTATATTTGCCTTATAAACATATGCAGCCACAGATAAACCATTACAAAACTGTATAATACAACGATAAGACAGAATCTAGAAGTCAGAATGAACTTTCTTAGCAGTAGGTTTTTATTGTTTTATCCTCTCCACAAGCACATCACACTGGTTGAATCAACATTGTTTCCACGTCATTTCAATTAAATTGAACCAACGTGGAATAGACTTTGAATTGACGTCTGTGCCCAATGGGATGATAATGAATCTGTTTACATCCCTGTTTTGAGAAAGGCATCGTTACTTTCTTCTTGGATGCTTTCCTGACAGGATACTGATGGTCACACACACACACACACACACACACACACACACACACACACACACACACACACACACACACACACACACACACACACACACACACACACACACACAGACAGACAGACAGACAGACACTTTGACAAAGAGCAATTTTGATGGGATCCGATTATATCTAGAATAGACACACGGTATGGCTGACCTCTATCGTTTCTGACAAAGTGTCTAGCAAATGTGATAATTTGTGTGTGTATGTCTGTGTGTGTTTTTCTCCTGAGCGTGAGACTCCTGTGTCCTCCTGCGGCCCCTAGTGTCAGTGTCACCATGGCAACCGTCCAAATAAGCAGGAAGTGTCGCTGTCCACCCATCCCTCTCCTTCTTCCTCGCTCTCCTTTCCTTTCACTACTCTCTCTCACTTCCTTTTACACCTTTCTCCTTCTCTCTACCTTCTCTCGGTTTTTATCCATACCTGTAGCCTAATCGTTATCTCTTTTAATTTTTTATTCCTCTCTTACACCTCTCTCCTTCCCCCCCCATATTGTCTAATTTTAGAAAGTACACCCTGTCAGATCAGAGAGGTCAGTGTTCTGTCGTACCGTCCAGTAGCCTCTGCAGGAATGATATGTCTCCCTGATATCCAATATCTCCCTCCATGGTTAAATACAGGGACAGGGACTTTATGTGCAGGCTCCAGTGGCTCAGTTGGTTAGAGTATGCTGCTTGCAACACCAGGGTTCTAGGTTCGATCCCCAGATGATCTATGATGTGTCTGAACTTTTTTGTATAATATACTGTGTTTGTTATTTTTTTTACTGTCTTTGTGTTACTCCTTCCCCCTAGATTACTAGGCCCCGATTCCGACCCGAGTTAAGCGTGCGTAAATTGAACTTTTCTCTCTATGCGTATTCTGACCTTGAACTTAAGCATGAGAATAGCATGCTATTCTCCCGCTATTCGTTCGGGGTGGAGATCTAAGAAATTAAGCTGTGGTGGAGGTATGTCTTCAGATAAACTGTATTCTGACCTTCAATTATTTCCCTCATAATTCCACCACCTTTACGCGCGAGGAAACCATGAATAAGGTCTAGCGAACCTGCCGGTTCCAAGTGGAAAAAGTGTCTACTTTTTCGTTTCTCTGATAGAAATAACAGCATTCTCCATGCACTGTAATTTATAAATGAATAAGAGCTATTGATAAGAGCTAGGTAAATGAGTAATCCGTTTGAAGAAGGGGATTGCAAATACACATAGCAATTGTTTTAAATGATTTTGCCTTATGATCCCTGGAGACGAATGTGAAACCAGCGATATGGAAGCAAACTGAAAATCATGTCAACATGACATGTATTGCGGCCCCTTTTCCACAGTGAAATAGGCTCCAAACACACCAAGACAGTCGTGAAGAGGGCACGACAACGCCTTTTCCACCTCAGGAGAATGAAAGATTTGGCACCGGTCCCCAGATCCTCAAAAAGTTATACAGCTGCACCATCGAGAGCATCCTTACCGGTTGCATCACCGCCTGGTATGACAACTGCTCGGCATCCAACCGTAAGGCTCTACAAAGGGTAGTGCGTACGGCCCAGTACATCACTGGGGCCAATCTTCCTGCCATTCAGGACCTACACTACCAGTCAAAAGTTTGGAAACACCTACTCATTCAAGGGTTTTTCTTTATTTGTACTATTTTTTACATTGTAGAATAACAGTGAAGACATCAAAACTATGAAATAACACATATGAAATCATGTAGTGAACAAAAAAGTGTTAAACAAATCAAAATATATTTTATATTTGAGATTCTTCAAATAGCCACCCTTTGCCTTGATGACAACTTTGCACACACTTGGCATTCTCTCAAACAGCTTCACCTGGAAAGCTTTTCCAATAGTCTTGAAGGAGTTCCCACATATGCTGAGCACTTGTCTCAATTTGGTTGAGGTCGGGGGATTGTGGAGGCCAGGTCATCTGACGCATCTCTCCATCACTCTCCTTCTTGGTCAAATAGCCCTTACACAGCCTGGAGGTGTGTTGGGTCATAGTCCTGTTGAAAAACAAATGATAGTCCCACTAAGCCCAAACCAGATGGGATGGCGTATCGCTGTAGAATGCTGTGGTAGCCATGCTGGTTAAGTGTGCTTTGAATTCTAAATAAATCACAGACAGTGTCACCAGAAATTATCCATATTGACCTTCACGTTTCTCTTTGCTTATTTGAGCTGTTCTTGCCATAATATGGACTTGGTCTTTTACCAAATAGTGCTATCTTCTGTATACCCCCCTACCTTGTCACAACACAACTGATTGGCTCAAACGCATTAAGAAGGAAATAAATTCCATAGATTAACTTTTAACAATGCACACCTGTTAATTAAAATGCATTCCAGGTGACTACCAAGAGTGTGCACAGCTGTCATCAAGGCAAAGGGTGGCTATTTGAAGAATCTCAAATATAAAATTAACACTTTTTTGGTTACTACATGATTCCATGTGTTATTTCATAGTTTTGATGTCTTCACTATTATTCTACAATGTAGAAAATAGTAAAAATAAAGAAAAACCATTGAATGAGTAGGTGTGTCCAAACTTTTGACTGGTACTGTATATACTAGGCGGTGTCAGAGGAAGGCCCAGAAAATGGTCAAAGACTTCAGTCACCCAAGTCATAGACTGCTGAACAATTAATAAAATGGCTACCTGGACCCCCCCCCCCCCCCCCCTTACATTTTGTACCATTCCATTCCGTTTACCGTTCGTTCCTCTGTCATATCCATGCAAGTTGTTCCTGAGGGTCGCTAGCATTAGTGGATCATATTAGGCTAACGTTGTGCAATAATTTGGGACATGTAGCCTATTTGAATCATTATGGAAATCAGACCACAGTTAGCAGGTTAAACCTAGAGCCTGGCGCACGGTTCACGACGACTGGACCGTTGTCATACAGTTCCATGATTAGTGAGAATTAGGGTCGATTTATAGGACTATTGTTCAACCCCTATTGTACACTTTCTTTCCATCTTCCAATATTTCATGGATTGAATTTGAATATGACAACTTTCAGGATGAATCGATGGCTCTCCAAACCTGTTTTGTTTTTTTATGATTCATGCATACTTTCCTAACCCTAAAATGTGCCTAAATAATCTACAAGATCAGAGTATTTTAAAATCTACCAGTTGGTGCAGAAATAGAGACGAAGATGCATAGATGGGTTGGTTGTTTAGCAACAAAAACGAGGCACGCACAACCATGGGGCAAAACAGATGACAACATGTAAGTTATATTTCGTCTCCAATGTTTTTTGAAAAAATAAATAAATTTGCACAATGACCACTTGATGTCTCTATCGTATCTGAAGATTATGTCTTTGTTAAATGTTTTTCATGACGGAATGGAATGTTGGTTGTTCAGGCCAGAGGGGGGAGGTTTTATGATGTTATTTGAAATGTGCCGCTTGGAGGGTGACGGCCGAGGGGAGACTGGTGATTGGCCAGAAGAAGGGAGTAGCCCCTCCCTTTGCATTGTTTATAAATAGGGGGTAAACGATTAGACGGCAGAACGACCATATCAATCTGGGGAGTCGTTCTCCGGGCAACGCGTGTCTGTAATTTATGCTGTAACCTCGTGGTATGAATAAAAACTTCTGACACGATGCAGCATAACGGACTTTTTGTTGACAGCGATAATGGCCACCATTCATCATATACGACATCTCTCAAATACATTGTTCGAGTTGTTGGTTAGCTAGCTAGCGAATTTTAGCCATATTAGTATTGTCATTAAATCAGTCAAAACACCTTAAAACAAGAAATGGAATCAATAACAAGATGAAACGAGCCACTTACGATTCCCCAAATCGCAGTTTCTTATCATTCTTGCTAGCAATCTGGCCATCCAGAATCACAACAACAGACGCGCTGAATTACATTTATTCAATGCGTGCAATGGAACCACCGTTATGCACCTTCATAAGGTAACTACTGAGAAAGAAACGCGTGCGTAAGAAAGGCGTAATTTCCTAAATCGGAATCGGGTGCCTAGTGTCTTCTCTCCGTTGTCCATCTGCCCTAAACCCATTCTGTTAATTGGTCAGCGTTCACCATAGCAGTAGCACAGGGGGGAGGGTGTAAAGCCATTGTTCCTCAGGAACAGCCTGGCTGAGTCTCGTTAGTCTGCAATAGCTTCCCTTCCCTTAATCTAATTTCCTTCATTTTAACCCAATTCAAAGGACTCCTCTGAAAGAAGCCATCTATCTGTTTGCATTTGTGTCTGAGTGTCTTACAGATTCTAACTGCATGCATTCATTCTATGATCCTATTGAGAAAATACTATTGTGATTGTTCACGATTTGTTGCGCTTATTAAGCTATTTACTTGTTATTCATTTCGGAAATACATTACAATTAATAAAACATTTTCCAACTTGAGTTGAATTCTTTGAAGTACAGTAAGCACCACAATGTGCGCACCGTTGTTGCTGCATCATTTACTAGTAGATGGAAGACAAATTGACCAGTTGAAACAGGACTGTAAAAAGTAATACTGTTACCTTCTCCAGTCAGCCTGTATGACCCAGACAAGCCTCCTCACTGACCTTGGAAAACTCAGAGTTAGACAGAGACTGCATCTCAATACTCTAGTAGCTTCCTCTCCTCATCTCTTTCCCTTCATCATATGCACTGATCTGAGGACACAGAACAGGTGAAGAAATTATAAGTGGATGCCTGCTGGGCATTTGCTTTCAGTTTACCCGTCCAGTTCTTTCAGATTAGTGCGGGGAAGGGAATGAAACGAGGATGAGGTGAGGAAAACACGAGACTGTTGAGATGCAGCCGACCTATCACACTTTATAATCTTCTCCTCAGAAATGGTTCCTTCACCAGCATGATTAAAGTAGCCCTGGAACAGAGAGGCTGTTTTTGTTCAGTTCTGCTCACATGATTTTGCCACATACACTACAAAAGTATGTGGACACCTGCTCGTCAAATATCTCTTTCCAAAATCATGGGCATTAATATGGAGTTGTTCCCCCCTTTGCTGCTATAACAGCCTCCACTCTTCTGGGAAGGCTTTCCACTAGATTATGGAACATTGCTGCGGGGACTTGCTTCCATTCAGCCACAAGAGGATTAGTGAGGTCGGGCACTGATGTTGACCGATTAGGCCTGGCTCGCAGTTGGCGTTCCAATTCATCCCAAAGGTGTTCGATGGGGTTGAGGTCAGGGCTCTGTGCAGGCCAGTCAAGTTCTTCCACACCGTTCTCGACAAACCATTTCTGTATGGACCTCGCTTTGTGCACGGGGGCATTGTCATGCTGAAACAGGAAAGGGCCTTCCCCAAACTGTTGCCACAAAGTTGGAAACACAGAATCATCTAGAATGTAATTGTATGTTGTAGCGTTAAGATTTTCCTTCACTGGTACTAAGGGCCCTAGCCCGTACCATGAAAAACAGCCACAGACCATTATTTCTCCGCTACTAAACTTTACAGTTGGCACTTTGCATTTGGGCAGGTAGTGTTCTCCTGGCATCTCCCAAACCCAGATTTGTCAGTCCGACTGCCAGATGGTGAAGGGTGATTTATCACTCCACTGCTCCAGAGTCCAATGGTGGCGAGCTTTACACCACTTGGCATTGCGCATGGTGATCTTAGGCTTGTGTGCGGCTGCTCGGCCATGCAAACCTATTTCATGAAGCTCCCGACAAACAGTTCTTGTGCTGACGTTGCTTCCAGAGGCAGTTTGGAACTCTGTAGTGAGTGTTGCAACCGAGGACAGACGATTTTTACGCGCCATGCGCTTCAGCAATCGGCGGTCCCTTTCTGTGAACTTGTGTGGCCTACCACTTTGTGGCTGAGCCATTGTTGCTCCTAGACGTTTCCACTTCACAATAACAGCACTTACAGTTGACCGGGGCAGCTATAGCAGGGCAGAAATTTGATGAACTGACTTGGAAAGGTGCCACGTTGAAAGTCACTGAGCTCTTCAGTACGGGCCATTCTACTGCCAATGTTTGTCTATGGAGATTGCATGGCAGTGTGCTCGATGTTCTACACCTGTCAGCAACAGGTGTGGCTGAAATAGTCGAATCCACTATTTTGAAGGGTTTCCACATACTTTTGGCCATGTCATGTCTCTCCTTCATCTGTTTTTTTACCACTTTGTGGTGTGCAACGCTGCTTTCTAAAGTTCCTCTCCACTTACTCCACATTGTAATCTAAATATTTTTCTTGCTGTTATTAATAGTCTCTCCTGTCTCTCTTTTGTCTCCCCACAGGCCTTTGCAGCGATACCAAGTAAAACCTTACATTTGCACTACGGAAGCCTGTCGAGTCCTGTAAGAACATCAACCTACGAGATCAAGACAAAAAAAGAGCTTGAAGGAAAGAGAGGCCAAGAAAACCGTGCTCACTTTCCTGACCTGGCAACTGTTTGACAAAGCAAAAAGCTAAATACGAATTCAAAAATACTTAATAAGTAGCAAAAACATACACATTACAAAGGCAGCTAGCTTTTCCTTGAGAACTACAACTACACACAGCACCTGACTTCCGCGACCCCTGATCCTTGACGTTTTACCCATTGACGTGTACCCGACCAACCGGCCCAGCCATGTTCCAAGCTCTGAGCAGCCTGTTCTTCGGGGAGGTGGAGGAGGTGGCCGCCGAGATCAATGGGCCAAATCCCTGTGTGACCGACGCTGACGAGGAGGGATGGATGCTGGTCAACCTGCCCGGTGAGTCCCCCCTTAGGGATGGGTGGAGGGGGTTGGAAGTGGAGAGGAGAAGGGGAGTCACTAGATGGCCAATTCAGAATGGACAGAAGTCCTGTAGAGCATGTACATCAGCTGTTGGTTTTCTAAGGTCAAAGGTTTTGGTGATTTGTGGTCAGCACTTCAGTCCTCTCTAGTATGGCCATATAGTGATGGGGGGGGTGAGATATATCGTAAACAATCTCCATCAAAGAGAATCTGAATAGTTTAGAGGCCACTTCTCAAACTAAACATATAAGCCCCAATGAAACACCTCACAAAACAGTCAGTACAACAATACTGTCACTGACATGACCAGGCGGTTAGAGGTTCGAAGTAACTAATTATATTATTCCTATGTTTATGTTTTGTGTTTCTTTACCCTTTCTTCTCCCCCTCTCCTATTTTATTTAAATACCCTGACATTTCTCACACTGGTGGGTTTGTGTGTTTGTGTGTGTGTTTGTGTGTGTGTGCGTGCGTGCGTGTGCTCCCCTTTTAATGACCCCAAAACCTGCATGGCTTCTTCCACTTTCTCCCTAATCTACACCACCCTAAACATACACCACCCTAACCTACACCACCCTAAACATACACCACCCCAACTACACACCCCCACACCCCACACTCAACAACACCACCCTAACCTACACCACCCTAAACATACACCACCCTAAACATACACCACCTAACCTACACCACCCTAAACATAACCACCCTAACCTACACCACCCTAACCTACACCACCCTAAACATACACCACCCTAACCTACACCACCCTAACCTACACCACCCTAAACCATAAAAAACACACCCCTAACACGAACCTAACCACCTAACCTACACCACCAACCTAAACACATACACCACCCTACATACACACACCTAAAAAACATAACCACCCCACCTAAACCACACCACCCACAACCCTACACCACCTAACACTACACCACCCTAACCTACACCAACCTAACCCACACCCACCCAAAAAAAACCAACCTCACCACCCAAACACACCCACCCACACCACCCTACACCCACACCACCCTAACCTACCCACAACCACCCTACCTCACCACCCTAACCTACACCACCCTACCCACACCACCCTAACCACACCACCCTAACCTACACCACCCTAAACATACACCACCCTAACCCACACCCCCCTAACCTACACCACCCTAAACATACACCACCCTAACCCACACCACCCTAACCTACACCACCCTAAACATACACCCTACCTCAATTGGCCAACTCCTCCATGGCCCCACCTTTACTGTGTTCTCAGGGGAAGCTGATTGTGCGATGCTAGTAGAGGGAGGGATCAAGGTGCCATCGATAGCACAGGCGCTTGCACAAAACAACCAATCAAATTACCCAGACACACCCACCAGAACTGAGTGCCCCGTCCCCTCTCCGAACCCTTCCCCCCAACATCAGAATCGCCGCAGAACACACAAAGCTTGTTCACGAGCGGCGACAGTGGCGCCATCAGACCCCCTCTCCACTCTCCCTTCTGCTAGCCTGTTAGCCGCGGGCATAGCTACGCCCATATCCCTAAAAAGGCGGGCCAGGCTCTCCACCCCATCTGTGTCCCCTGGCAGTAGTGGGTCGGAGAGAGGCTGCATGGACGAGAGCTGGTTCGTTACCCCTCCCCCCTGTTTCACTGCAGAGGGAGCCACGGCGGAGACCAGCCCCATGGAGGACCTGCTCATAGAACACCCCAGCATGTCCGTCTACGTCTCCCCTAGCAACCTGTCCATGATCTCCAACGGCAACCTGTCCATCGTCGGGGAGGAGAGCATCACCAGCCTGACAGGCAGCATGAGGTGAGGACCGACCGACCCATATCTTATTATATCTTTGTCACCATGTAAGAGATTTGGTACATAGCCACAGTTCTATGAGAGAGCTACATAACTTATTGACTAATGTTCTATACCCCCACTTCCTCGTATTCCTCCCCTCCTCTAGCAGGGTGGCAGAACCAGCCGCTGCCCCTGCCGTCCACAATACAATGCCCACCAGGGTGACCCGAGGAGCGGCTGCCCAGGCTGGTACCCTGGCCAAGGTCACCCAGGTGGCCAGGGTTCAGAGGGGCAAGGCCCGCACTGAGAGGCGCCACCTTGGACGCAACCGCATCCAGCGCCAGAACCGCACTAGGGAGCAGGTTCCCCGCCATGCAGCCCACGCTAGAAACACCTACTTGCACCAGCCCTGCCAGCGCAACATCTGCCACTGAGCCTCCACACCCACAGGGGGAGCCATTTACTCTGAGGGCATTAGTGGTTATACTCCCCCTTACATACACACAGGTAGATTTATATGGACACACACATATACACAAATATGTAAATACACATGTACACACAGCACATAGACACTCATTCTCTCTCTCTCTCTCTTTCACTAACTCACTCTCTCTCTCACACAGACACACAGACACACAGACACACACTCATTCATTTACATAGGCTACTGTGCCCTGTTAGGCCCCAAACCCCAACCAAGCCCTCTAATAATTTAATAAGTATTATGTTGTTAGCTGTCACACATAATAATTATTGAAAAAAACATGCAAAAAAAAGATAACTTAGCAACTACTATGTGTGTAAAACTACAAAAACTTCCATCCACTCTCTCCATTTCAGTTGAAATACTCCTCTCCTCTATCTCTTCCCAGTGGAAGTACACCTATTTACTGCCATGGAACACATGGCCCTCTCCCCTTTGCAGCCGTCCTATTGCTTTTAACCAGGTTGGGGGACAGACATGCTAAGGAGGAGAAATGAAAGATGCTCACTCTCTTTCTGCGGGGACAAGCTTTTATAGGGAATCTTTATTAGATCGTACACCCCTGGACACGTAATAATTTTAGCTGTTGAGTATCTACGTAGCTATACTTGTTATGAATGAGGGCGGCAGGTAGCTTAGTGGTTAAGAGCATAGTGCCAGTAACCGAAAGGTCGCTGGTTCTAATCCCTGAGCCGACTAGGTGAAAAATCTGTCGATGTGCCCTTGAGCAAGGCACTTAACCCTAATTGCTCCTGTAAGTCGCTCTGGATAAGAGCGTCTGCTAAATGACAAAAAAAAAAAAAAAAACGAATATAGACAGGGAAAGGCTGCCCACAGGAAAAAACATACAATCTTGTCCTTTATTTGCAGTGTTTGAGTTATGAAAGATTTTAGAGAAAAAAAATCTGTTCACAAAAAGGAAGGGTATACCGTGTACACTACAGTGAGAGAGGAGAAAAACCAGAAGAGGGGTTTTTCTTCTTGTCCCACTGTGAGGGATGGAAGCAGGAAGAGGAAGGTGAAAGAGAGGAAGACGAAAACAGACTGAAGAGTAAAAAGAAGACTAGAAACAACACATTTGAGAGTTTAGACGGATGACAGAGGAACAAGAGTGGATATAGTTGAGAGTTTAGATAGGATGACAGAGGAACCAGAGTGGATATAGTTGACTGTGTAGTGTAGCTTTCTGTGCAACCAATAGCTAGTTTTTAGAATGTCTAACTGGCTACTTTTACATAGTTGGCTTGCCATCTGTGACTAAGACACGTTTGCCAATGCAGAAACAAACTGCCACTCTGTTATCTCAAGTCAGGCAGCCTTGTAAAGCAGGAAGCTGATTTCCTCATTTCCTAAATGTCTTTGTCCAACAACTACAACACGATCATGAAAGTAATTCAAAGCTGTCTGGTCATAAGAAGTCTAGTATAGCTAGCTTCAATGACTGTGCATAGTTAACTGTGTATGTACTGTGCAAATTACTTTATTGGGACGTACCATAATGATATATGTAGGGAAACTAGCCAAGGGTTGCCTGTAGGTTACAAGGTATGACAGGCTAAAGTAGGTGCAGGGCGGTATAGATGGCAACTCTTTATTTTGTTTAGTTGGTTTGTTTGTTTGTTTTTCTGCTACTGTTATTAAAGTTATGGAGAAGGTAGGCCTAACCATAGCTCTCTGCCTGATGTCCGTGACAGGAAAAGCCTGCTCCCTGCAGCCCCATAGGGAGAGGAGAGCACACCGTTTCATCCAAATAGCTGACAACCTAAAAACTTGGCCTCGTTTGACAGAATGACTGTGAAAAATTCACACTTTGAGGAGAATAGTATAAAGGAAAAAAATAAGAGAATAAATAAATATAAATTTGCTCAGCACATACATTGGGCTCCAACTGTTGGTGTGCTGTGATGCTGTTGTATTAAGACACCTCCCCCCTAACTAAATATCAACGAAGTGACAATCTTGCCCATGAAAAGACAAAACAGGGAAATAGATAACATCGACCGATCCCTTTTCACTTCACATCATTCAGTGACAACATGGTAATCATGGTAGGAGACTCGGGGTGAACACACACACACACATACACACACACACACACACACACACACACACACACACACACAATGTCCACCGGGCTGATACTGCTCAGTGTTTCTAGTAAAGACTGGCTCAAGGACAGAGAACGAGTGATGAGTGACCCTTTACATTCTCAATAGCACATCCAGCCGTAACAGTGTCCCCACCTTAAGATCTAGCTTACTGAGATGTATTCAACTACAATAGTAAACTATGGTGCTGAATTGTATATGACTATATACTAAAGTTTGTAAATTATTTGCGACATGGATGTAAGTTTGCACTGTCATACATTTTAGTGAGTCAAAGTTTTAGCTGTGTGCTGTGTGATGTCTTTTTTTCTCCTTTGGGATGTTTACTCTTTTCTTTTTGTTTTGAATCGAACCGTCAATGTCTGTGTGAGTGTGAGAGGATGTGTGTTTAAAAAAAATACTTAAAAAGACTAATAATAATCAATTATTTTTCTTGTACATATTAGAATACAGTTTGTAATGCTCCTTGCCGTTAGGTGTCAAAGCCACTCAGGATTTGAGTCGTTAGAGTAGCTACCATCTTGACTGAGGACAAGACTGTCCCTGCCTCTTTCCTGAATTGGACAGTAAGGATGCATCTCAAAAGTGTCATCCTTTTGGGTTAGGATGTATTAACGTTCCAATTAGAAACTGCCCTCTAGGGGGATAAAAGTGTAATAACTTGTAAGGACAGGATAATTTCATGCTGGCATCATCATAACGCTACACATATTTCAAAGTATAAAGATGTATTTGTGGGAGCAGTGTAACATTAATTGTTCTCTAGATAAAGTGAGAGTGATCTGAGAAATTGTTCTTATTGTTTAGAATGTTCTGAACTAGAAACATTTATTTTTCCCTTTAATCACAAACCACCATGTTCCACTCAACGTATCGCCAACTATCTTGTAAATTACAATATTTTATTTGAATTATCTACTAATATATGATATAATTATTAATATTATGTATATTTATTTTTCTGTTGCTGTTTTAAATGATGACTGTATGTAACTCTGTTTGATCCTGTGAATGACGCAGTGTGTGGATTGCAGTAATGAGTCACACACACACACACACACACACACACACACACACACACACACACATTCACACACAGATACACACACACACAAATACACACACACATCTGGTCTCCATGCTTCCTTAACCCCTAGAGTTTTCGGAACCCTATACTACAGTACCTCTGGGGTCACACTTCTTACTCGCATGATAAAGACATTTTACAGGGAGAAAGGGGAGGGGGCCTATACATGAGAGACCATAGGTGTGTGTGTGTGGGACTCACCCCCTCTAACGAGGCCTTGTTGGTCCTCACTGCAGACTGTTTCTCTCCTTTTCTTGTTGTTCTTTTCTTTCCTCCCATCACCCTCTCACCTTTACGTTCACGTTATCTCCAAGTTGTTGTCTTCTGAGTATGTAGTGTGGGACTAATAAAAGGTGTGGGTTTAGGGTGGCAACCCGCCAATCACAGAGAGAGGGCGGGGCCACCAGGTGCACGCGTGTCTAGTGTGACGTGAGAGTTGTGTGTGGGGGACGGAGGGAGGGAGGAAGGGATGATGGGAGGGAGGAAGAAAGAGGGGATGTGACAGAGGATGGAGTAAGCAGATTGATTTAAAAAAAAAACTGCAATGAAATGTATCAACAACAAAAAAAATGCTTGTATTTTTTCCCATATAGTTAATAGAACAATTGTTCACCTAGTATGTTCATGTTTTAAAAGAAAGGGGGTTGATTGTGTGGGGATATTTTTTTCTGCTTTGCGCCCTAAAATGTGATGGCAGCTTAAAGATACTTTGGGGTTCTCCCATGTACCATCTCAACGAGTACACCCTTCCCCTGTCAAAAAAACGATTTATAGACATATAAAAAAGATTGGTGTATCTGATATCTATGGTGATCGTGCCTTTCACTATTTCTGCATGGTTTTTGTGATGTACTGAATTGTTCCATCCCTGAGTGGACAGTCAAGTCCATAGACAGTCAAGACCTATGCAACCACCAACAGATGGGTTAATCCAACATCCATTCAGAAAAACGCAGGTACCACACAAATCAACAACAACAATAAACACTCAGGTTGACAACCTGAATCTCGTCTCATCATTTACACCTGAGGGACTGGGGGGAAGGGGGGGCAGGGCCACTTGGCTGGGGGTTGGGATGAGGACTGGAGTTGGGGCTGGGAGGATGGATGGGGTAGATTTGATCTGGGTTAGGGTTGGGTTGGGTATGGAGCATTTGAACAGAAGATAATTTGAATGAGAACAGAACATTCCTCCCATAGTCTCTCCATGTAATCTTGCGTCAGCGAGGGCCTCTGGCCATCCTGTTAAGTCAAGAGACTAATCTCCATTTAGACTATATACCAACTTAATACCGGCTATATATCCCATCTAATAGATTAAAGTGTGACAAGAATTTGAGTGATGGAGTGGAGATACAGTACATTTGAATTGGAGAAGCCAACGTTGAGGAAGGGTTGAGTATAGATTTGGTTGCAAATGGGTGGGGAATGGGGAAGACAGTACAGACACACAGAAACAACAGCCTCTCCAAGTTCGTTCCAGTTTTAAATCTTGTGGGGGAAAGAATAGGTATGGGTTTTTGAGCAGCTGTTACATTGTACGACCTAGCAGGGTTAAAATACACACACACACGCACGCACACTCGCACGTACACACACAGACACACACACAAACACGAAAGTGTAGAGATAGAGAAGCCTATGACCGGTAGGGATGCATCTGGGTGGCCACTTTTGTCTCTAAAAATGCCTAAAATAGATATCTGTCTGTCCGTCTGGCATTTACTCCTTAGGGTGGATTTACATTAGTAAAATATGTCTAGTGAGATCTATCTCTCAACATCAGATGTGCAACTATTCTGTTTGCACTAGCCTTGGATGTGGTGTGGCCAAAGCGATATTCCTGTTTCATGTGGAAGCGCAACTATTAGCATACCGTAATTACCATAGTATATACACTAACAAAATAAGGATAGCAATTTCAACTATACAGGAGCTTCTTATCTAAACCATATTGCATATAGTTTTGCACACTTCATTAACGATATGATTCACAAATGTGTGGATATTTTAAAAGCCTTTAATTTTCAATTTGGCTAAGAGAGCAAAAATGCTGCCTACTGGTATTAAGGTAATTAAGGTAATTTTTGCAGGAGCCTTTGTCTTTACACTGTACCACTCAGAGGGGGGTATGTGGTATTGAAAGAGATATTGGACATAGTCTGTGTCATCAAAGTAGTGTAGGTAGTGTAGTGGAAAGTGGCTCTAATTCTCTTTACTTGAGTTGCAGGGTGGTGTAGCCTATAAACAGAAAGAGAGAGAGAGAGAGAGAGAGAGAGAGAGAGAGAGAGAGAGAGAGAGAGAGGAGAGAGAGAGAGAGAGAGAGAGAGAGAGAGGAGAGAGAGAGAGAGAGAGAGAGAGAGAGAGAGAGAGAGAGAGAGAACGAGAGAGAGAAAAAGAGAAAGGAGGTCTGTCCACCTCAGCTTTCCTTTCGGTAATCTGAGCACTGAGCAGGTGCTATAGCATGCCCTAACCTACTAAAACTAGTTCTGCAACTCCAGTAAAGAGTCCCCTTCCGGAAGCACAGTCTCAGGTAAATGCTAACCCAGATACCTATTTATGTTTTTTTGTTATGGGGTGTTGTAGGCTACGTGTAAATATACCTACATGTTACGTTTTCGACGAGATCTGTGTTCGTTCACTGACTAAGATTCCAACAGTTTGATTGCAGGTGAGTCCTGCCGTCTCAAGGTGAGACCATATTGTATTTTAGGATCAACAACTGTAGGCTACTACATCTCATTGTGTGACCTGTAGGCTTACCTTCAGTGGTGACCAGTGGCGGCTCCTGAAAAAATTCTCAGGAGGGGCAATTTTTCTGATGATTTAGGTGACCTACACACATTTTTAAAAAGATATGTCCAGCAACAACATGAAGACAGGGGCAGCATATAAGTCAATACCAGAAGCATTTATTGACTGATCTCAAAAGTGTTGGCTTACAAAAGCAAAATAAGTTATCACAGTAAAAATAATCAAGGGTGTTCTTTCACATTCCTCAACACTGCATAAACAATATGTATGGCTTTGTAAAAATGAACAACCATATTCTGGCCAATTGTATAGATTTGTAAATATGAACAACCATATTCTGGCCAATTGTATAGATTTGTAAAAATGAACATGAACAGATTTTTTATTTTTTTGAATGGCAGTACCTTTCAAACATGTCTGCTTGCAGTAAGGTAGCACTCACAAGGTGGCCAGAGAAAGAGAACCTTTCTTTGGTGTGATCCAGGATGGTGTTGCAGACCTCTTCAGACAGCCTCTGCTTCTCCTCTTCTCTCAAAGCTGTTCTGGGTCTTTTGGCTCCTGTTGCTTCTTGCAGCTGCTGTTGAGAGGAGTCCCTGAAGGCAAACAGACCAATGTGTTTGTTGGCTTTGTACAGTATTGTTGTCTATGTGATGCACAGGTATATGCAATGTATCCATGTATAGTACAAATACTTCAGTTCCACTTAAAATGGGCAGGGATGCATAAAGTCTTTAGTGTTTAAGTTAGCCTTTGTGTCTCACATAGCCTGGATGTTCAGCACAGTATACAGTGGTGCTCATAAGCTTATGATCCCATGCTAAAGTTGACTAAAAAGAGGAATAAAAAAGAAAAGAAAATTGGTGTCCTTAAAGGTTGGATTTTCCAACTTTTTTAATTAAGTCATTAAGATCAATTTCCAAAAGATGATTTTTTTATTTTTTTATTCCTCTTTTTAGTCAGCTTTAGAATGTGTTCATACACTTATGAGCACCACTGTACAGTACACATAGTATATAAAATAAGATAGATTACACCACTGGCCATATATAATGACAATAATGTAATTTCAAACACAAATGCAGTCTCCTTTCATGCATACATTTTCAAATAAAGCTCTGCTTTGAGAAAGATCGAATGATATTGTTTAATCTTTATCTTACCTTATGGCCTGCACACTGCTTGCGAAGCTGTCGAGGGCACGTTTGATAAAGACAGCATCGATGTCCTTATTCTGTAGCTTCTGGTACGGTGGGCTGGTCAAATGAACCCAATGAACCCGTCCGGATGGCTTCAAAACATTCTATGAGGTCGTCTCGATTCTCGTAGACAGTGTTCACGACTCTGCTGTTGCTAACCTCATCGTTGTGGCGGCGGACAGCTAGCCTGTATCCCTCATCCAGTTGAGTGGCAATATTCACTCTCACCAAAGCAGACAATCTCAAACAGCTATCAATGTGGGTCTTTGACAGCTCATTTTTCTTAATCTTTTCTGAAAGATGGTGCATGTCGGTTACACCAGTCGCTGTCCAAGCGTTGCTGTCTGCCGTTCATGGTTACGTTACGTTACGTATGACGAAAGCGCGTAAGTGCAAGCCCTCAGACACCCATAGAGAATGTATTGAAAGCTCAGAAATTTGAAAAAAAATTATTTTACATTAGAGGCTATGAGAGACTTCTGGGCGATTTTCAACCTGACTGAAATCGCCCCAAAACGGGCGGGGACATTTGAAGCACGACTTTAGCCTGATTGGACATTTAGTGGCTGGCAGATCAGACGTGAACACTGAACTACTGTTGCCATGATATAATTGATTAGAAAAAAAATCCCTTCCTTTTCCCGTTTGGCAGTGCGTCGCCCATATCGCCCTATTGAACACACCGCCCATGGTGGTGACCATGTGAGTTATGTCACTTAAAAAAATTATGACAGCTGTGATAGAAACAGGAAGTTATGGTACAATTTTATAAATGCAGACGGATAATTTGTTGGTTCGACATGTGGGGATCTTTCATAAAATTAATTATGTGAGAAATGGCGGTGGAAACGCCATTAGGCTCAAATATTGATATAATAACCATCATGTCAAGCAACTTTCACTTGGGACGGGGGAGACATGTCTCCCCCCCCCCCCCCCCATTCTGAAATTGCATTTTTGTCCCCCCCTGTTTTATCATTGGAATGTGATACAAAACGAAGCAACGGTGTGCTTTGGGAACATGCGGACGCCTCGGAGCAGTCGGTTAGGCTGTTTGGAGTGTTTATCCGGCTGGATAAAAAAATACATAAAAATAAGTTATGTCCCCCCCCACTTCTAAAACCAAAGTTGCACCCCTGATCAAGTAAACTTGGAGTAACACCATGACATAGTTTGTGGTCCTCCCACTATGACTCGTCAAACCATGGTTTGTTAGGCTACACATGAAATACATTATGATGAACTTCACAGGGTGGTGAAAGTGCACGGTGATGAGCTTGATGCTCCTTTCCCAAAAATATCGATGGTCTTATTCTGGTGACATTATCAATGCTTGACTGCCGTTTGACAATTACAAATATTATTGCGCTTATCCATAATAATGTCATCATGTAGACTAGCCTACCCGCAGAGCCTACCCGCACTGTATCTGCGATGTGTTAGCTCGAAACTCTGTCGCCAATTGGACCTCCACACAAACATTCCTCACTTCATAGTCTTATTTTCAGGCGGAGTAAACCCTCTGGCTTCGCCTCTCTCTCTCTGATATCACAGGGTGTAATTATTAGTCCAAACAGTTGCAACGTTTTGCAACTAAAACGAGAGTTTCTATTGGACAAATTCAGGTAGGTCCCGCCCCGTTTCGTTCGTTTCCGTTTAAGAAACGTTTTGCAACATAATCTGCGTAATGAATACGCCCCTGCTCTCTATCTGGAGATGGCTACAAGAAAGCCCTTATGTTCTGCCTTCCTTCCATTATAAATGCTACAAGAACGTCCTATCTGAATTGGTTGATGCTTGAATACAGTCGTCTGTCTCAAAGGGTAAGAATTTCACAATTTCTACTGCAAATAATATTCCGTCGCAAAGGGGGACAACCTTAGCGATGCGTCAATTTATGGAAGGCAGCAGTGTAGGCTTTAGCCGATGTAGGTTACATCTCGAAGCGTCGCCTGCAAAATCAACAAGGAGATAACAATCCTCTCAGGGAGCAGCCGACGCGATTAATTCTGTCACATTTGATCTAAAAACCACATTACGCTGGTTTTGTGGTTGTAGGCCTAGGTAGATATTTGCCGCATTTAGCCGATGTGTTACACGACCACTTTCACCGTGGAAGCATAGGTATTGGTAACGATAGCCTAATATTCATAGGGGCCTATGTATTTGGCCTACTGTTTTACTACTGAATCTATGAAGTTATGCATGTGGTGTTGGCTTTATTTTCAACTACGAATGATATTAGATGTGCTTGATCTTTCCACAGGTCTTGCGAATGGAATCGGATAGGCTATGAATAATTGCCGCATCACCTCCTAGACCTAGAGGGAGCCAGACAACAATGTTAAGGATCAAGTGCAACATTGTTACAACGGACCAATAACAAGTGTATCATTGCGGTCCAATAGCATAACTAATTGCAACATTTTAACACGCCAGGCTTAGGCTACATGGCAATCTCGTGTGAAGTCAAAAGGCAAAACGTAATACAATTCACCCTGAAGTCTGCTCAATAACATCATCAGTGGAAACTGTAGGTCAACAAGAGAGAAGAGAACTCAGGTTGCGCTGTTTCCTCTATTCATTAGTTGTGTAACTGGACCGTCGACATGTATAACCCTGCCAACGATGCCGTGGCCGGGTACTCCAGCGGCACCATAACAGAGAAAGACCCGAGCCAGGAGACGACCCTGGGAAGTGCCTACTCACCGGTGGACTACATGAGCATTACCAGCTTCCCCCGGTTACCCGAGGATGATGTAGTTTCCGGGGAAAACACTCTCAAATCACGCAAAGATGACGATAACTTCCTTAGCGAGCAAGACACAGGTAAGACACTGGTGGAGATATAGCAGACAATGAGGTGGTGACTGTAACCAAACCATCAGTCAGAAGGTCTACATAACACAGTCATAGCAGTGACATCTCCTTTACCTTCCATGTCTGCCAGACATGGTCATGTATGATGTTCAATATGTTGTTATACTCTGAGCCATATACATTATTTTGATCTAAATATATGGGTCTGGTTTGACTTATTCTTGCAACTGCTGCCTGCCTATTGCCCTTCATGCACAGTAGACACTTCCTGAATTGTATTGACCTCTGACCTCTATGTTCCAGACCCAGACCTGTTCCTGAAGTCAGCCCGTCTGCAGCGTCTCCCGTCCTCCGCCTCTGACCTGGCCAGCCATGACATCACACCCCTGCGGGAGACCACCAGAGACCCCTTATCAGAGGGCTGTGCCTGCCAGAGAGATGGCCTCACTGTCATCATCACAGCCTGCCTCACCTTTGCCACAGGAGTCACTATTGCTCTCATCATGCAGATCTACTTCGGAGACCCACAGGTGTGTGTGTGTGTGTGTGTCTGCCTTCTGCCCCTCTTCCTCCCTTTTACCCTCCACCCATCTCTCTTTCTCTCCATCATCTCCCTTCCTCTCTCCACCCTCATTCCCTCCCCCAATCTAAGTCAATTTCCTCTCCTCTTCCCTGTGTGTCAGATCTTTAACCAGGGGGCGGTGGTGACTGACGTGGCCCAGTGTACATCTCTGGGCTTCGAGGCCCTGGGAAAACAGGGCTCCAGTGTGGATGCTGCCATCGCTGCTGCCCTCTGTCTGGGCATCATACACCCACACACCTCCGGCATCGGCGGGTGAGTCTTTACACATCACACCAGCAGATAATCAACAACAATAGATAGTCAATAGGATTAGGTGTTTCCTAATCAATGTGTGAGTTATGTCCACCTAGATCTGCAAGAAGAGGATGCACTTATTGCTGTTGAACAACACTGGTCTCTGTCTTTGTTATTTGCAGTGGAGGCGTGATGCTGGTGCATGACATCCGTAGGAACGAGAGCAGGGTCATAGACTTCAGTGAAACAGCGCCCTCTGCCATCCTGGAGGACATGTTACAGACCAACCTGGAGCTCAAGGTAAGAGCCTCATCTCAACCTCAGTGTGATAGGAGTCAGACGCAGGAGGGTAAATCACTGAATAGAGTTTATTCCTTCGTACACAATTGCGCTAGATAGTGACACACGAAAACAGGCACAGGGGAAACTATCTACCCTGGCAATACACGGTACGGGATACTCCAACAATATACAGGCACAGGGGAAATATCTACCCTGGCAGTACAACGTGCGAGTAGCTCCACCGAGCTCCACTACTCTCACAATAAACAATCACCCACAAGGACAAGGGGGGCAGAGGGAACACTTATACACAGACTAATGAGGGGATAAGAACCAGGTGTGTGTAATTGTTACGTTCTCCCGTCGGGTGTAGTTCGTCTGAGGAGGAGACATAAATGCCCGTGCCTGCGCACACAAAGTAAACTAGATGGATGGGGAAGAAATGTGGGGTGTAACTAACTAAAATAACCAGACACAACAACCAAAACTCAGTGTTAGCCCTCTGGGGACGTTTAGTAAGGTACTGAACAAAATATACAACACCCATAAAGAAACAGTAGTAAAACAAAGACCAATCAAATAAACCAGGGAAGGTAAGAGAAGGGAATATTTGGGAACGGGGTCCAAGTAATGAAAATAAACAAAAGGTCTCTTCTCTTCTACACACCTAATCCTTCCTATCACACTCTAAACCCTAACCCACTTTCCTACCTGTTTACCAAAACAATACAGGGGTGACACCCGCCCGGCTAACCTAGTGTGTAAAACAATGGGTTATCTACGTGTGAATGTACACCCATGGGCAGATCTACCTCTCCCTTCTCCAGGACCTAGGTAGGGTGGAGTACATCAGGAGGACAGACTGGAACAAAGATAAATTAACACAACCAATACCCAAACAACTGTCCTCTACCCCCCCTCTTCGAGCTCAGCACACCTGTAATGCCCAGAACACACAAACACACTACAAAGGGAAATGGGGAGAAAGAAAAACACGTCACACGTAACACGCCCCCCCCCCCAAAAAAAAGAGTAAACCCCTGGGTTTATGATAAGAACCTTACACATACATATATATTTATTTTTTATAATACCAAATACTTACAACACATCCCCCCTAGTTGTCAATGCCTCGTTTTATTATTTTCTGAACTGAGAAAATAATAGACAGAGCATCCGCAACCACGTTTTCTGCACCCTTTATATGCTGAATTTCTAAGTTATAACCCTGTATAACCAACGCCCAACGCATAAGACGTTGGTTGTGGTTATACATGCGGCTCAAAAAAGTTAAAGGGTTGTGGTCTGTGTATTTCAGGCTCCCGAGTGGCGCAGTGGTCTAAGGCACTGCATTGCAGTGCTAGCTGTGCCACTAGAGATCCTGGTTCGAATCCAGGCTCTGTCGTAGCCGGCCGCGACCAGGAGACCCATGGGGGGGGGGGCGCACAATTGGCCCAGCGTCGTCCAGGGTAGGGGAGGGAATGGCCGGCAGGGATGTAGCTCAGTTGATAGAGCATGGTGTTTGCAACGCCAGGGTTGTGGGTTCGTTTCCCATGGGGGGGCCAGTATGAAAAATAAAATCAAAAAATTTAAATAATGTATGCACTCTGGATAAGAGCGTCTGCTAAATGACGTAAATGTATACCACAACAGGCAACACACTGGAGCCAACATAAACCTCAAAACATTGTAGGGCAAACGTGACTGACAGCTGGGTTATCTACGTGTGAATGTACACCCATGGGCAGATCTACCTTTCCCTTCTCCAGGACCTAGGTAGGGTGGAGTACATCAGGAGGACAGGCTGGAACACAAACAAAGATAAATTAACACAACCAATACCCAAACAACTGTCCTCTACCCCCCCTCTTCGAGCTCAGCACACCTGTAATGCCCAGAACACACAAACACACTACAAAGGGAAATGGGGAGAAAGAAAAACACGTCACACGTAACACGCCCCCCCCCCAAAAAAAAGAGTAAACCCCTGGGTTTATGATAAGAACCTTACACATACATATATATTTATTTTTTATAATACCAAATACTTACAACACATCCCCCCTAGTTGTCAATGCCTCGTTTTATTATTTTCTGAACTGAGAAAATAATAGACAGAGCATCCTGCCCAAACAAGCCTGCCCAAACAAGGAGGGGAGGCAGCCTTGGCGGAAGTCGTGACACTCAGGCCGTGTTTGAGAGCATCAAAACTGTAATGTATCATGGGTCAATTGTGACTGACATGTCTGATCTACAAATAATATTGAGTAGTTACTTATGATGCAATGTGATTTGTAGATTTGTAGTCAGTCGGCAGTCATTTTGATGCTCTCCAGTCTACAAGTAAAGGACAGGTGTTGTGTCGGCCTGGGGTTCTGGTATTTGTAGTCACAGGAAATGTTGACCATCTCTGTTCTAGCCTGGCCTGATGGTGGGAGTTCCGGGCATGCTCAGTGGGATGCACCAGGCCCACCAGCTCTACGGAAAGTGAAGTCTCTTTCTCGCTTTTTATCATTGATTCAGTCACTTTGTCTTAGAGCATTGAAGCTCATTAGCCCCAGTTAAATTACACAAGGTTTAATAGGCTCTGGATGTCTGCTTGCTCCAGTTTAGCGCACACAGACAGTCCCAAGCCATTGATTGAGTGTTATTATCTGTATCAGCGTTGTACAAGGGGACCATTAGTCCATCTCCTGTACAGTGGAGCTATAATTACTCCAGTGATACATGGTCATTATCGTGCCTCAGTTGGAGGAGCGGGGTGCAACTTGGAACAAAGCTGTGGATTTGATTACAATGTTGTCTACATACACTAAATATAGCTATGTACAATTGTAGGATCTTAATTTGATCACTCTTTTTTTGCTGAGAAATGTTCTGCACAGCAGGAAATGCAAACTTGTAGTGTATTTGAGTCTTAAACGTGCTTCTAAAGTTTGTAATTTCCACTTTGAAATTTCAGAGTTGATTTGCCCTAGCAAAAAATTAAACCCCTACAAAAATGTCCATTAATAATAATTCACATAATAATTCACATTTCCTGTTGCTGCAGAATTATTTTTCTGCTGTAGCAAAATGGCTCAAATTAAGATCCTACCTCTGGAAGTGGCTTTGGATACAAATGTCTGTTAAACCATATTTGATTACAGATTTAGGAGATAAAATGTAATGATAACACAATCCAAACGGATATCTTTGAATTTTTCCCTAGAATGCCTTGGAAGGATGTAGTTACCATGGCAGCAGATATGGCCAGAAATGGTTTCAATGTTACACATGACCTGGGTAAGCATGAGGAATTGAAATTATGCTAAACATATAATGCATTGGTGCTCATTCAAGTCTAATCCTGAACCATTCAGAGGGAAATACACACATGACCTTAGATCAGTGTCTAGGGGCAACTTCATCCTACTCTGTATCCCCCCCCCACCCACCCCCACTCTCTCTAGCTGAGGCCCTGGCCAAGGTCAAGGACAAGAATGTGTCGGAGGCTTTCCGTGCCCTGTTTCTCCCCAACGGTCAGCCTCCCCTCTCCGGCCTGTTCTCCCAACGACTCGACCTGGCTGCCATCTTGGATGCTGTGGCAGCCAATGGGATCGCAGAGTTCTACAGTGGAAACCTGACCCAGGAAATGGCAGCCGCAGTAAGCAGCTCATCTGTCTCCCGGACGCCAGCCTCTGGCATTATATAAGCACTCATAAATACTGTATTGGCTCCACTCTAAAAGATATGCTCTGGGTAGACGTAGCACTTAGGGACATATCTAGGATCAGCTTACCCTCTCTAAATCCAAACCTTAACCATTAGGAGGGGAAAGCGTAACACTGTCCTTGGATCAGTGTATAGGGGTAACTTCATCCTGCTCCAAAAGATACTGCTTCTCGTGACATCACTTGATTATTCCTTATTCATAGGGATCTAGTCAGCTTTATTCCATCAGCACAACTCTTGCCAGAATGGAAAGGTATTATCATGTGTTATCATGTATTTAAGCAATAAGGCCCGGGGGGGTGTGGTACAGTGGGGAAAAAAAGTATTTAGTCAGCCACCAATTGTGCAAGTTCTCCCACTTAAAAAGATGAGAGAGGCCTGTAATTTTCATCATAGGTACACGTCAACTATGACAGACAAAATGAGGGAAAAAAATCCAGAAAAACACATTGTAGGATTTTTAATGAATTTATTTGCAAATTATGGTGGAAAATAAGTATTTGGTCAATAACAAAAGTTTCTCAATACTTTGTTATATACCCTTTGTTGGCAATGACACAGGTCAAACGTTTTCTTTAAGTCTTCACAAGGTTTTCACACACTGTTGCTGGTATTTTGGCCCATTCCTCCATGCAGATCTCATCTAGAGCAGTGATGTTTTGGAGCTGTCGCTGGGCAACACAGACTTTCAACTCCCTCCAAAGATTTTCTATGGGGTTGAGATCTGGAGACTGGCTAGGCCACTCCAGGACCTTGAAATGCTTCTTACGAAGCCACTCCTTCGTTGCCCGGGTGGTGTGTTTGGGATCATTGTCATGCTGAAAGACCCAGCCACGTTTCATCTTCAATGCCCTTGCTGATGGAAGGAGGTTTTCACTCAAAATCTCATGATACATGGCCCCATTCATTCTTTCCTTTACACGGATCAGTCGTCCTGGTCCCTTTGCAGAAAAACAGCCCCAAAGCATGATGTTTCCACCCCCATGCTTCACAGTAGGCATGGTGTTCTTTGGATGCAACTCAGCATTCTTTGTCCTCCAAACACGACGAGTTGAGTTTTTACCAAAAAGTTATATTTTGGTTTCATCTGACCATGACATTCTCCCAATCCTCGTCTGGATCATCCAAATGCACTCTAGCAAACTTCAGACGGGCCTGGACATGTACTGGCTTAAGCAGGGGGACACATATTGCACTGCAGGATTTGAGTCCCTGGCGGCGTAGTGTGTTACTGATGGTAGGCTTTGTTACTTTGGTCCCAGCTCTCTGCAGGTCATTCACTAGGTCCCCCTGTGTGGTTCTGGGATTTTTGCTCACCGTTCTTGTGATCATTTTGACCCCACGGGGTGAGATCTTGCGTGGAGCCCCAGATCGAGGGAGATTATCAGTGGTCTTGTATGTCTTCCATTTCCTAATAATTGCTCCCACAGTTGATTTATTCAAACCAAGCTGCTTCCCTATTGCAGATTCAGTCTTCCCAGCCTGGTGCAGGTCTACAATTTTGTTTCTGGTGTCCTTTGACAGCTCTTTGGTCTTGGCCATAGTGGAGTTTGGAGTGTGACTGTTTGAGGTTGTGGACAGGTGTCTTTTATACTGAAAACAAGTTCAAACAGGTGCCATTAATACAGGTAATGAGTGGAGGACAGAGGAGCCTCTTAAAGAAGAAGTTACAGGTCTGTGAGAGCCAGAAATCTTGCTTGTTTGTAGGTGACCAAATACTTATTTTCCACCATAATTTGCAAATAAATTCATTAAAAATCCTACAATGTGTTTTTCTGGATTTTTTTCCCTCATTTTGTCTGTCATAGTTGACGTGTACCTATGATGAAAATTACAGGCCTCTCTCATCTTTTTAAGTGGGAGAACTTGCATAATTGGTGGCTGACTAAATACTTTTTTTCCCCACTGTATATGGCCAATATACCATGTCTAAAGGCTGTTCTTAAGCACGACACAACGTGAAGTACCTGAAAACAGCCCTTAGCTGTGGTATATTGGCCATATACCACAAACCCCCGAGGTGCCTTATTGCTATTATAAGCTGATTACCAACGTATTTAGAGCAGTAAAAAAAATGTTTTGTCATACCTGTGGTATATGGTCTGATATACCACGGCTGTCAGACAATCAGCATTCAGGGCTCCAACTACCCAGTTTATAATGAGATTTTTAATAATGTATTTTCTAACAGGTGCAAGCCAGAGGAGGAGTTCTCTCTGAGGAGGACTTTGGGAACTACACCACCGTCCTACAGCAGCCGGCTGAGAGTTTCTATCAGGGTAAATATAGGGTTCCCTTTGAACAAATATATTTTCACGATTATATTGTGATTATGCATCCTCGCTCCCAATTCTTGCCAGATGTGATATTTGAACCTGCAACCTTGCGGCTAAATGCATCCATTTCTCTGTTGTTGATGTTGTTGTTGTGTAGGGCACCATGTGATGGCAGCCCCAGCCCCCAGTGCAGGAGCAGCTCTGATCACAGCTCTGAACATTCTGGAAGGCTACAACATCACCAGCCAGGTGCCCCGCAACAGCACCTACCACTGGATCGCTGAGGTACTACGCCCTATTTCATTTACATAACTTAGGAAAATACTTGGGTGTCAGCCTGATCATTTAGTTAATCAGTAATTGTTGTTGATTACTACATGTATCCTATAGTAAATGTTAACCCTGTATACTGTGGTGCCTACAGCATGTATTTGTAAAGCACTGCTACGTTTCTGTCATTTTCACCTACTAATGTCTCTGTCCAGTCTCTGAAGATTGCTGTGGCCCTGGCCAGTGGGCTGGGAGACCCCATGTATGACACCTCCATCTCAGACATAGTCACACAGATGCTCAGGTAGGTTCTACTTGTCCAACACAATACATCATCAGACACTTTTATCACATAAAAATAAGAAGATGATTGAGACACGAATCACCATGAAGCATGACCATCAGACCAATATGATGTTTTGAACCGTCATAATGCTGGCTAACCTGTTGATTCCTTGGCTCTCTCCCTGTCGTTTCACCTGTGGTCCCCCAGTAAGTCCCAGGCAGTGCTGCTCCGCCAGATGATCAATGATTCCCAGGCGTTCCCCCCGGGTCACTACACGCCCTTGTACGCCCTGGAGGAGGGCGCTGTGGCCAGCCAGGTCATGGTTATGGGGCCTGACGACTTCATTGTCTCCGTCATGAGGTTAGCATTGGCTCTCGAAACTACCTCTAACTTCCTTCATACTGCACACAGAGACATAAAAATGATGTCCACGAGTTCATCTGACTCTGGGGAAGTGGATAAAGGGCCTCATTGCCATAATCCTGAAGTATCACTTTAACCTCAGAGACATTATTAATCTCAAATGTTAGTGCCAATCTGCTATTGAGTTAATAATCCTGGACTTTGAAGGTTTGAGTCAAGTTGCTTGCGTGTAACTAAGGTTAGGATTTGGTCCAATATCGACCAAATAGTCATGATTGTATTCAGATGCTGTGTGCTTTGTTCAGAAAAGGAGGACCATATGTTTGATATATTACTGTAAATGTTATTGCAGTTGCTGTTTATGATTGTAAAATGGTTGGTGTTATCTCTGTAATCTCCCTTTAGCTCCCTGAACCGTCCGTTTGGCAGTAGGATAGTGACACCATCTGGGATCCTGTTGAACAGCCAGATCCTGGACTTCTCATGGTCCAACAAGACCCAGACCTCTCAGCCTCCGAACCCGGTACTACTGCCTGTCATATAATGGAGTGGTTTTATCTTTGACTTGGATTTAATCAAGTTGGTTATTTGAATCAGCTGTGTAGTGCTAGGGCAAAAACCAAAACATGCACCCAGGGGTGGGGGGCCCAGGACCAAGTTTGGGAAACCCTGATCTAAACCACCAGTTGTTGGGTATATAAATAACCCTCTCTCTGCTGTGTCTGTCTGCAGCATAATGTCATCCAGCCTGGAAAGAGGCCCCTGTCCTTCCTGGTGCCCACGGCAGTGAGGCCTCGCCTGGGTTTGTGTGGCACCTACGTGGCCCTAGGATCCTCCAACGGGGACCGGGCCCTCAGTGGCATCACCCAGGTGTTGATGAACGTCCTGTCCTCTCGTAAAAATCTGAGTGACAGTTTGGCATATGGTAGACTCCACCCACAGCTGCAACCCGACACTCTCCTGGTGGACTGTGAGTATGGCCTTCAGAGCTAGCTAATGCTTAGTTTCTAGCTTTGTCTCTGTTTCATCCACAAATAATCACATATCCATTCATATACTGTATGTCTAAACACTAAACTTGTATCGTGCTTGTTTTTCATCTTTATTCCTTCCCTCTCTTCTTTCCCTCTTTCAGCTGAGTTCCTGGAGGAGGATGTGGAGGTGCTGCAGTTCAAAGGTCACCAGGTGCAGAGGGTAGATGTCCTCTCATTGGTGGAGGGCACCAGGAGGACCAATGACCTCATCATCGGGGTGAAGGACCCGCGTAGTGCGGACGCCTCAGCCCTCACCATGTCCATGAACATGCCCTAGCCTCCTCACGCCAGGGTTGGGTGAGTGACAGGAGGGGGTGGAAGGTGAGGGATGCAAAAGGGAAACAGAGGGTTATGAAGAGTATGGAGTGGTATGAAGGAGAAACGTCAATATATGAGGCCAGTATTTTGGAGGAAAATGATGCTCGAAAGGGCTGATATTCCACCAAAGGGCTGATATTCCCAAAGGGACTGATATAAAAATAAAAAAAAGATTTATTATAGACGGGTATGAAGGAGAGATAAAAAGGGATATTAAGAAGAGGAGGATGGGTGCAGGAAATGGAGGGGCGTGGAGCAGTCTTTGGGTGTGTAATAAGCGAGTAATAAATGAGTCTCTGAAACGGGTTATACCCTCCTCTACTCACACAGGGTGTAGCATGCTGTGTGTTTTCGGTTGTCTTTAGCCAGGCACATTTCACTGTAAATACACTCGGATATGGCTATGCTCACTGAAACGGCTCCTTCCACCACACGCACGCACGCACGCACAATCCTACGTACGCACACATTCATTCCTTTGCACAAACAACACACACAGATGGCATGCTTAAGTCTAGATTCTCGTCAGTGGCCCATTTAACTTGGCTGAGCATCCCCTCCCCTGCCTGTTGTTATACTTCCACTCATTCAAAATGGCGGCGAATGCCAGTATATATAAAAGCATATGGGTTTGATCTGCTCAGTTCCATTATCTTCCCTTGTGAACACTCAGGAGTTGGCTAGTCACATATTGACACACCTTGATTTATGCTTAGACCACCCGTTTACTGTGTGTGCATTTGTACAGGCAGTGAGTCAGTGACTGAGTCAGTGACTGTCCTTAATCTGATTCTTGTGGCTTGAGTCTAAAGGTGTTGTAGCTTGTAGATATCTAACCTGTTACGAACAATCACTAGGCTACTAGAGGCCATTTTGTAAAGAATAGAGATGATATTCTTATCTGAAAAAGAGAGTGGACACCGCACACTACTCTTCACGTGAATGTCGTCTGTCCTCACTTCAATATTGAATGTTATTTATTGCTAGTACTACTGGGTTTAAATAATGTTGTATTATTATTTAAGGTGATCTGGGGTAATGACTGGAAAAGGAGTAGTTTGAAAGCTTGTTGCAAGCATTTTTTAGAAAGGATATTTTTAGAATGAATGGTCAGAATGACCAGGTTATCAACAACTGCTCCTACAATGATTTTCTCTATTTATATTAGCATATTTTGCTTATACTTTGTCATTTGCACAAATGTTTTAGCTTGAGACAACACTTTACTTTTTAATATATTGAATGATTATTGTATTTTAGTGAAACAGTAGATGTTAGTCTGTGTGCCCATATTGCTGTCAATGGGCTATTTATTATAGCACGTATGAAAAGACTCTCCCTTTGTGTTCCAAAATGCTACCATAGGCCAATTCTTCTCCATAGCCTCAGTTGATTAACTGACCATTGTGCTAATACCTCAGATGTGGCTGTTTTCAATCTAATTTCAAAATGCCAAGAACCATGATAAAACACTGATTGGTTACATAAATAGTCATTAATGCCATTATGAGGCATTAAATAAAATGCATATTTTATTTTCTCATTTGTTGAGCAATGACTGGCCTATACATGGGCTCTGTTTTCAGTGATGCTAGATGCCTTTCCTTCTCCTTTGTCTTAAATTTAACGTCCACTTGTTTGCAATGTAACAAGGTTGTTTGTATACGCTACGCATTATGTACTTTGTATTGAAAAGTATGAATTCAGACGGGAAGAAACACTGTATAGGAGGACCCAGTTATGGAATAAATATGTTTACACAGAAATGTGTATATAAGAATGAAGTTACTGTTACTATGTTTTTGAAACGAATTATATTTTTAGACAGATAATGAACTGTCATTAAATGTATTATCAAAATATAAACTATAAAGGTAATCAAATGGGTGTGTCAATATCACATTTTAAACATGTGATGCAAATTATTTAAAACATCTAACAAATGTGAGAAGTCATAAGCTAGGAACCCAGTGAAAGCTTTTAAGTTCAGTTTTTTTTTAGTCACATGCACATGTACAGTGAAATGCTTAACTTGCAAGCCCTACACAACAGTGTAGTATTCAATATTTAAAAAAGTATAACTAATAAGAAAGGGCGCTATGGTGAACAAAAACATAAACGCAACATGCAACAATTTCAACGATTTTACTGAGTTACAGTTCATATAAGGAAATCAGTAAATTAAGCCCTAATCTATGGATTTCATATGACTGGGCAGGGGCGCAGCCATGGGTGGACCTGGGAGGGCATAGGCCCACCCACTTGGGAGCCAGGCCCAGCCAATCAGAGTTTTTCCACACAAAAGGGCTTTATTACAGACATAAATACTCCTCAGTTTCATCAGCTGTCCGAGTGGCTGGTCTCAGACGATCCCGCAGGTGAAGAAGCCGGATGTGGAGGTCCTGAGCTGGCGTGGTTACACGTGGTCTGCCGTTGTGAGGCCCGGGTTGGACGTACTGCCAAATTCTCTGAAACAACGTTGGAGGCGGCTTATGGTAGAGAAATGAACATTAAATTCTCTGGCAAATTCTCTGGTGGACATTATTGCGGTCAGCATGCCAATTACACGCTCTCTTAGACATCTGTGGCATTGTGTTGTGTGACAAAACTGCCCATTTTAGAGTGGCCTTTTATTGTCCCCAGCACAAGGGGCACCTGTGTAATGATCATGCTGTTTAATCAGCTTCTTGATATGCCACACCTGTCAGGTGGATGGATTATCTTGGCAAAGGAGAAACGCTCACTAACAGGGATGTAAACACATTTGTGCACAATAAGATTTTTGTGCGCATGGAACATTTCTGTCATCTTTTATTTCAGCTCATGAAACATGGGACCAACACTTTACATGCTGCGTTTATATTTTTGTTCAGTATATACAGTGCATTCGGAAAGTATTCAGACCCCTTGACTTTTTCCACATTTTGTTACGTTACAGCCCCTCATCAATATACACACAATACCCCATAATGACAAAGCAAAAACAGGTTTCTATACATTTTTGCTAATGTATTTAAAATAAAAACGGAAATATCACATTTACATAAGTATTCAGACCCTTTACTCAGTACTTTGTTGAAGCACCTTTGGCAGCAATTACAGCCTTGAGTCTTGGGTATGACTCTAGAAGCTTGGCACACCTGTATTTGGGGAGTTTCTCCCATTGTTCTCTGCAGATCCTCTCAAGCTTGTCAGGTTGGATGGGGAGCGTCGCTGCACAGCTGTTTTCAGGTCTCTCCAGAGATGTTCGATCGGGTTCAAGTCCGAGCTCTGGCTGGGCCACTCAAGGACATTCAGAGACTTGTCCCGAAGCCACTCCTGCGTTGTCTTGGCTGTGTGCTTAGGGTCGTTGTCCTGTTGGAAGGTGAATCTTCGCCCCAGTCTGAGGTCCTGAACGCTCTGGAGCAGGTTTTCATCAAGAATCTCTCTGTACTTTTCTCTGTTCATCTTTCCCTCGATCCTGACTAGTCTCCCAGTCCCTGCCACTGAAAAACATTACATTTACATTTACATTTTAGTCATTTAGCAGACGCTCTTATCCAGAGCGACTTACAGTTAGTGAATACATATTTTTTTTATACTGGCCCCCCGTGGGAATCGAACCCACAACCCTGGCGTTGCAAACGCCATGCTCTATCAACTGAGCTACATCCCTGCCGGCCATTCCCTCCCCTACCGTGGACGACGCTGGGCCAATTGTGCGCCGCCCATGAGTCTCCCGGTCGCGGCCGGCTGCGACAGAGCCTGGATTCGAACCAGGATCTAGTGGCACAGTTAGCACTGCGATGCAGTGCCTTAGACCACTGCGCCACTCAGGAGTTCATCCCCACAGCATCCCCACAGCATGATGCTGCCACTACCATGCTTCACCGTAGGGATGGTGCCAGGTTTCCTCCAGACGTGACGCTTCTGGAAGGTTCTCCCATTTCCACAGAGGAACTCTGGAGCGCTGTCTGAGTGATCATCGGGTTCTTGGTCACCTCCCTGACCAAGGTCCTTCTCCCCCGATTGCTGAGTTTGGCCGTGTGGCAAGCTCTAGGACGAGTCTTGGTGGTTCCAAACTTCTTCCATTTAAGAATGATGGAGGCCACTGTGTTCTTGGGGGCCTTCAGTGCTGCAGAAATGTTTTGGTAACCTTCCCCAGATCTGTGCCTCAACAAAATCCTGTCTCTGAGCTCTACGGACAATTCCTTCAACCTCATGGCTTGGTTTTTGCTCTGTCATGCACTGTCAACTGTGGGACCTTATATAGACAGGTGTGTGCCTTTCCAAATCATGTCCAATCAATTGAATTTACCACAGGTGGACTCCAATCAAGTTGTAGAAACATCTCAAGGTTGATCAATGGAAACAGGATGCACATGAGCTCAATTTCGAGTCTTATAGCAAAGGGTCTGAATACTTATGTAAATAAGGTATTTCTGTTGTTTATTGTTAATAAATGTGCAAAAAAAACGTTTTTAACTTTGTCATTATGGGGTATTGTGTGTATTTCATCAATTTTAGAATAAGGCTGTTACATAACTAAATGTGGAAAAAGTCTAGGGGTCTGAATACTTTCAGAATGCACTGTATAAACATGGTCAGTGCCAGTACCAAATCTACAATTTGCAGGGATACTGGAGTATTGAGGTAGATATATACATGTATGCAGGGATTAGGAGAAAGTGACTGGTAGCAGGATTAATAATAATAATAAACAGTATAGCAGCAACATAAGTGGTGGGTGTGTATGTAAGTGTGTGGGTCTTTGTGTGAGTGTGCAAGAGTGTCAGTGTTAGCGTGATAGGTGGATATACATGTAAACATGGCGGAAAAGTGACTGGTAGCAGGAATATATAAATACTTATGGTAATATACTAATGGTAATAAACAGGAGTAATAGTGACCAGTAGCAGGATAAATACTGTAGATGTATACTAATTGTAATGGCAATCAATCAATGAACACCAGCGTAGTGGTAGTAATAAATCTAGCTAATCAATAATCATTTTAGCAGCAGCGTAGATGTGAGGGGGAGCAGTAGTTGTTAGCCATTTAACAGTCTTATGGCAAGGGGATAGAAGCTGCTTATTAGTCTATTGGTCTGAGCCTTGATGCACCGGTACCGCCTATTAGACGGGAGCATGGAGAACAGTCAATGTCTCGGGTGGCTGGAGTCATTGGCATTTTTTTGGCCTTTCTCAGACACCGCCTGGCATGTACGTCCTGGATGGCTGGGAGTTCATCCCCATGGATACGCTGGGCCGTCCGCACCACCCTCTGTAGGGCCTTCCGGTCGAGGGTGGTGCAGTTGCCATACCAGACGCTGATACAACAACTCAGGATGCTCTCGAAGGAGCAGCTGTACAAGTTCCTGAGGATTTGAGGAGCCATGCCCAATCGTTTCAGCCTCTTGAGTGAGAAGAGGCACTGCCGTGCCTTCACGACTGTGCTGGTGTGAGAGGACCATGATAAGTCCTCAATGATGTGGACACCAAGGAACTTGAAGCTCGTGGCCCTCTCCACTGCGGCCCCGTCGATGTGAACTTTCTTATGATGGGATAAAGGTCAGCCATTTTGGTCAGGGAGTTGGTCACCCATGGTTTGCCAGTGCTGTGATAAGATAGAGTACAATTATGAATTTGAAGAATTGATCTGCACTGTATGTTTATTAGCTAGCTAGCCAGCCAGTTTTAGAGGAATTATTTCAAATTAACTGCCAATATGCCAACATTCCATTCAAACATTGTTGTCAATCCACAGCCATACACTGGCTGAAATCAGTTGATGATAGGACTTAGACATGTTGTAAATGCAACAAGTACTAATATTGTGTCATGTAATAACACTCACAGCTTTCTGAGAAAACAAACATTTAGAAATGTATGGTCTGTTTACATATAGTTTAGAGGATTTTGTTAGAAATTGCGTAATTCAAATCTGGTATTGGAATAAGAATCAAGAGATCTTCAATCCAAGCTTAATTTATTATATGGAAAATGTATGTATGATAAGTATGAAGGTTCGTATATACGGGTCCACTGAAATACCACGCAGGGCACTCAGAGAACTGATCCATTGTTCTAAGTTCTTCTTCAAATACTCTGACAGAGATAGTTCCCGCTCCCTGCTGGCCAATCAGAGTAAAGGACTGAGTGTGGTTTAGACTTTACTCAGCCAATCCGTTGGTGCACGGGTTAGTCCCACCCCTTGGCGCTCCACCGTTCCCAGGCATAAGTTGCTATCATAATAACCTGTGGAGTCAGCACCCAAAAGACACCCCTCCAATCTGTACTCCATGTACCCACGTTCAAGGACGGTTTCACAGACAACAAAGAGAGAGTGTTCGTATCTGTAAGAAATACAAGTCCTATCTGACCTACCCCCTAACGTTCCCCACATGAATCACAGCCTGCTATGTGAAACAATCCATATCAGTACAGTTCAAACCTATGCTCCTCATTAATGCATTCCTTCCAAGCTATTCATCACATACAGATCCAATTATGAGAAAAATAGAACCCAACAATTTGTATACATAAAATTGCTATAAGCCCCCTATAAACTGTATTTATAACTATATGACAATATTTTCGGTTGACAACAATTCTGATACACCATTTCTGAAATATCACATGCCTTACTTTTATTTTCCTGCATAATTAAAATCAGGATTATCCCTCTACTGCCATTCATTCCAATTAGACTGGTTTGGATTTCTCCCTGACCAATATGGCTGCCGTTTTCACCCCATTCTGGAACTTTTAGGGTTTATGACATAACCTATTAAATTACTAGAGGGGCTCTGTATGTCCTCACGTATGAAATTAGCAATTCATTTTTTTGGTTCGACACTCATTGACCTCCATACAAAAATACCTCAGTTTGTGGTCATAATTTTCGTGGACAGATTTTGGGCGGAGTATCCCTCTCGCGTCGCCTCTTCCTTTCTTGATAATACCAATCTAGCTACGCAAACACAGCCGCAAATAGCGTATTTCAGGAAGAAAATTGTCCAGTCTAAAAAAAGAGGATTATCAGTCCGTGGGTCGTACGCTATGTTTTAAACGCATAATTTATTCACAAAGAATTACGACGTAAGTATGCGAGTACCTCTTTCTGAGAATACAGAGAAAACCGAAAGAAAAATTATCGTCTGATTTCGATTGGAAAGCCTCTCCTGTTGCGGTATTGGTTGCCACTGGTCCCAGTTCATGTTTTGTTAGCTATCAGATATTACATCGTTGGACTTGCTCACAAATGGATTTATCTGGTAAGTATTGCATTGTTATCTTTGCTGTTAACATTTGGTTGATGAAGTTGTAGCTAGCTAGCTAAGTAGCAGCAGGAACGTAACGTTAACTGGAACGAATTTGATGAAATAACTTCATACGCATTATCAGCTAGCCAACTAAGCGGTGCATAGTGAATAGCAATTAGAAGTGTAGCTAGCTAATGCTAACTGCTGGATCTTGCTAGCCAGAGCTAGCTGTTAAGATCTTCATAGTTGTTTTTGCTCAGCTGTGTGTCGTGATGTATAGCTAGGTTATCTCTTATTTTATATATTGCACTGTGGGTAATGACAGTAACTTTGTCATCAATTGGCGTTTCGGTGATCTCTAACGTCGTTCATGTTCGACAAGTACAAGTTGTTGTTTTTTGCTTGCTAGCTCGGCACTACGCAGGCTTGTCAAGCCAGATCTTGTTAGTCGATGACCAGCTAGCGAAGGCCTTGCAATCAATCGTTACCGTTAGCCTATCGAGGAAATTATTATATCGCGTTTGCCAGATAGTGCGGTGGTTTTACATATTTTGTAGTACTAGGGGTCGTCTTATTAGTTATTGCTAAAACATGGCTTGTTATTTTTGTAGCTAGCTAGTTAGTTATTATTGGTGTTCACTTTAGCCGTTGGTGTTCGTTAACGCATCGACAGTTAGGTAGGCTAGCTTAAAGCTAACGCTACGTGTCATGTTCATGATTGTGATAAGCAACTTTGTATCAAACGCTGGACCTTGTAGCTAACTAATTATAACCATTAAGACTGCTTGATATACAGTAAAATAACAACTCTCGAAACTTTGAACATCGGCAGCTATCTTATCTACATTGAACAACAATTACCAGGGGTATTCTCATGGGTACTACTAGCCCTTGATCATGACTCGCAGTTCCATTACATTGAGTCCCGACGCTTGGATTGAACATTAACACGCATCGCTTGCGGTATGTTTGGAAGCATAAGGACTTTATCTTTCATATCAGCTAGAATTTAAATCCCAAGAGACAGGTTAAATTGTAACACAACTTAATAGGTTTAGTGTTCCCACACGGCCATATCTCCATGTTACAGCGTGTGTTTATTCTGCTCATCAAACTCGAGAACGAATCGTTTGGGGGGCTGCAGTTCGCGAACGACTGTGCTTATCGCCTTACCTGGCTACCCAGACTCCTTGCTCCGGCCAAACGCTACGGGCGTTAGTTTCTTCTCTGCAATGAGAAGTATGTAGGGTACCACAGAGCAGCAGAATAATTGTGTGAGCAATGCATTCCGCCAAGAGGCGTTCACAATCTAGTCAGATTGCAGCCACAGCTAGACCTCGTTTCAAATGTATCAAGAAATAATCGTATTTGTATGCCTACCAATAAACAAATGTACGTTGTTGAAAGCACACGTTTACAATTGTCACAAATTTACATTTTAGTCATTTAGGAGGAGCAATTAGGGTTAAGTGCCTTGCTCAAGGGCACATCGACTGATTTGTTTACCTAGTCGGCTCGAGGACTCTGTTACCGGCCCAATGCTCTTAACCGCTAGGATGACAGCTCCAGTAAGCCCCCTATGGTGAATGATAGGCTCGTAGAATCATGACTCTTTCTAGTTTTCAGTTCAATGTTCGCTGGTAGGGTGTCCTGCGTGCTCTGAGCATTATTGACTCAAATGAACGAAATGAGTCGAAAGATTCGTTCTTTTTGACTGAATGAGTCGAAAAGATCAGAGTCAGTTAAAAGAGCCGAACTTCCCATCACTAGTTCACAGAAGACAGAGGGACCACCTGTGCTATTTAGCATACTCCAAACACCTGTGTGTAATGGAAGAAGGCCGCGAGAAACGTGTTGTCACTGAAAAATACTGTAGGCTGCAACTGTGATAAAGCTGGTTAAAAGTGTACGTACAGCACAGGAGGTTGGTGGCACCTTAATTGGGGAGGACAGGCTCATGGTAATGGCTGGAGTGGAATTGTATTAATACAAACACATGGTTTCCATGTCTACCTCTGAAAATAACATACGGTGCCTTCGGAAAGTATTCAGACCCCTTTACCTTTTGTTACGTTACAGCCTTATTCTAAAATTGATTAAATAGTTTCCCCCCCTCATCAATCTACACACAATACCCCATAATGACAAGGCAAAAAGTTTTAGAAATTTTTGCTAATTTATAAAAAAATAAACTGAAATATTACATTTACGTAAGTATTCAGACCCTATACTCAGTACTTTGTTGAAGCACCTTTGGCAGCAATTACAGCATCAGGTCTTCTTGGGTATGACACTACAAGCTTGGCACACCTGTATTTGGGGAGTTTCTCCCATTCTTCTCTGCAGATCCTCTCAAGCTCTGTCAGGTTATTCAAATCTGGTTCAAGTCCGGGCTCTGGATGGGCCACTCAAGGACATTCAGAGACTTGTCACAAAGCCACTCCTGTGTTGTCTTGGCTGTGTGCTTAGGGTCGTTGTCCTGTTGGAAGGTGAACCCCAGTCTGAGGTCCTGAGCAGGTTTTCATCAAGGATCTCTCTGTACTTTGCTCTATCCATCTTTCCCTCGATCCTGACTAGTCTCCCAGTCCCTGCTGCTGAAAAACATCCCCACAGCATGATGCTGCCACCACCATGCTTCACCGTAGGTGCCAGGTTTCCTCCAGACGTGACGCTTGGCATTCAGGCCAAAGAGTTCAATCTTGGTTTCATCAGACCAGAGAATTTTGTTTCTTATGGTCTGAGAGTCTTTAGGTGCTTTTTGGCAAACTCCAAGCGGGCTGTCGTGCATTTTACTGAGGAGTGGTTTCCGTCTGGCCACTCTACCATAAAGGCCTGATTGGTGGAGTGCTGCAGAGATGGTTGTCCTTCTGGAAGGTTCTCCCATCTCCACAGAGGAACTGTAGAGCTCTGTCAGAGTGACAATCAGGTTCTTGGTCACCTCCCTGACCATGGCCCTTCTCCCCCGATTGCTCAGTTTGGCTGGGCAGCCAGCTCTAGGAAGAGTCTTGGTGGTTCCAAACTTCTTCCATTTAAGAATGATGGAGGCCACTGTGTTCTTGGGGACCTTCAATGCTGCAGACATTTTTTGGTACCCTTCCCCAGATCTGTGCCTTGACACAATCCTGTTTCGGAGCTCTACGGACAATTCCTTCGACCTCATGGCTTGGTTTTTGCTCTGACATGCACTGTCAACTGTGGGACCTTATATAGACAGATGTGTGCCTTTCCAAATCATGTCCAATCAATTGAATTTACCACAGATGGACTCCAATCAAGTTGTAGAAACATCTCAAGGATGATCAGTGGAAACAGAATGCACCTGAGCTCAATTTCGAGTCTCATAGAAAATGGGCTGAATACTTATGTAAATAAGGTATTTCTGTTTTTATTTGTAATACATTTGCAAAAATGGCTAAGCTTGTTTTCGCTTTGTCATTATGGGGTATTGTGTGTAGATTGTTGAGGATTTTTAAAATGTATTTTATCCATTTTAGAATAAGGCTGTAACATAACAAAATGTGGAAAAAGTCAAGGGGTGTGAATACTTTCCGAAGGCACTGTAAAAGGTCCTTCGACCTTAAGGAGGAACGGTAGGCTCCTTAAGAGTACATCCTGGGCTAGGGTACTATGAACTCACAAACCAGCAACATAGCTAACTTGTTTAGGATTTATATACAGTTCCAACTGTACTGTTGCCTTCAACTAGAATCAAGGTCAGTAATTTGTTATCCATTATTATGGTCAAGACATATCTTGACACTTCCTTGCTTGTGTATGCAAGTTCATGCTGTTTAAATTGCGTTAGGCTACTTGTTGTATAGTTTTAGTGAGCCTATCTCTCTCCTTGCTCTCATCAAACTAATCAAATCTGTAACAAGTCAAGACTATATCTTTGATGTACATTGACACTTTCTTATGATCTTTCCATTGAAAGTAGATTTAATTACATGACATACATTTTCATGGATTTACGTGATGTAATTCATATAACTTACAATATTTGTCTCAATTGGGTATATCATGGAAGATAAAGTCCTCTTTTGGTTCCATAGCATAAACGGTTCCAGTCTTCCCCACGCCAGTCCTACTGAGAGGGGAGGATGGCACATCAACACCCCCCATTGGAGCTTTCCGAGTGGACAGCAGTCCCAGGTGGGGATCCTGACTCAGATTCCGACCGGGACTCAGGAGTCGGCGAGGATGCTGGAGAGGATGCTGGCAGTCACCATGGCAATGACATATCGCACCGGCAGGATGGAGTTGGAGAGCGAGGTGGAGAGGAAGAAGGAGAGGGGGATTTCACTATCTTTGTTGCCTTTCAGGGAAATATGGATGACGAGGACTTCCAAGAGAAACTTGACAACATCCTTAACAGGATGCCTAGTATGCTTGAATTAGGTTAGTAGTGGGTGGTGACGTGGTGCACCTTTCTAACTGGTTAAACAGTTTCCTACATTTTACATCTACTTTGAATGTATCCTGAAAGTAGTTTGACAATGTTTGAAAGCCATCATTTCAGACCTCTGTATTATTTCTATACTGAAAATGAACCATGATATTGAGTTATTTTATTGTACCTCTCAACCTCCTTATCTCATCCTCTCTTTCTCTGTCTTCTTATCCCTCCCCAGATTCTGAGAGACTGCAGCCGCAGCATGTGGAGCCGTGGAACAGTGTGCGTGTCACCTTTAACATTCCCCGGGAAGCGGCAGAGCGCCTGAGGCTGCTGGCCCAGAACAACCAGCAGCAGCTCCGAGACCTGGGCATACTCTCTGTACAGATAGAAGGTATGTACAGTACGCAGATAGCAGCAGCGATGGCTATGATCAGGCCCAAAAGTGAAAGCGTCCAGAAAAGTACCTAGACCCTGATTGTTGTTGTTTTTGTTTGTTTCGTCCAGGTGAAGGAGCCATCAATGTGGCCATGGGGCACAACAGAGGTCAGGAGGTCAGGGTGAACGGACCAATCGGAGCGCCTGGACAGATGAGGATGGATGTGGGATTCCCAGGACAACCAGGCCCAGGTACCTAACGCTCATATTATGTCATACTAACCCGGGACAGGGAAGTGACAAGTTGAACTACACTGCTCAAAAAAATAAAGGGAACACTAAAATAACACATCCTAGATCTGAATGAATGAAATAATCTTATTAAATACTTTTTTCTTTACGTCTGTCACGTGCTCAGTGTGAACCTGCTTTCATCTGTGAAGAGCACAGGGCACCAGTGGCGAATTTGCCAATCTTGGTGTTCTCTGGCAAATGCCAAACGTCCTGCACGGTGTTGGGCTGTAAGCACAACCCCCACCTGTGGACGTCGGGCCCTCATACCACCCTCATGGAGTCTGTTTCTGACCGTTTGAGCAGACACATGCGCATTTGTGGCCTGCTGGAGGTAATTTTGCAGGGCTCTGGCAGTGCTCCTCCTTGCACAAAGGCGGAGGTAGCAGTCCTGCTGCTGGGTTGTTGCCCTCCTACGGCCTCCTCCACGTCTCCTGATGTACTGGCCTGTCTCCTGGTAGCGCCTCCATGCTCTGGACACTACGCTGACAGACACAGCAAACCTTCTTGCCACAGCTCGCATTGATGTGTCATCCTGGATGAGCTGCACTACCTGAGCCACTTGTGTGGGTTGTAGACTCCGTCTCATGCTACCACTAGAGTGAAAGCACCGCCAGCATTCAAAAGTGACCAAAACATCAGCCAGGAAGCATAGGAACTGAGAAGTGGTCTGTGGTCACCACCTGCAAAACCAGTCCTTTATTGGGGGTGTCTTGCTAATTGCCTATAATTTCCACCTGTTGTCTATTCCATTTGCACAACAGCACGTGACATTTATTGTCAATCAGTGTTGCTTCCTAAGTGGACAGTTTGATTTCACAGAAGTGTGATTGACTTGGAGTTACATTGTGTTGTTTAAGTGTTCCCTTTATTTTTTTGAGTAGTGTATATCCATTCATTGTTAATATTTTAGTTGTTAAAGTATAAACAAACCTCCATACCAATCCAGGGCTTGACATTAACTCTTGTCCTCTTGTCCGGGACAAGTAAAACAAGTAGTTGGACAAGAAGAAAATAGATTTAAGTTGTCCAAATAGACAAGTTTTAAAAAATCACACACAAATCACAATATCAAACAATTACTCTGATCAGAATTGGATCGGAGGCTAACATTGGAATAATTTTCAAATCTATTGATCATGTACATTAAAAGAAAAAGCCTACATGTCAAAGTGTAGGTGATATGCATATTGGCTACAGCTTGTGTCAAAACCGATGCTGACATGAGGGAGGTGCCAGAAAATGTAGCCAAACTGAGACTTTTAATAACTTAAATATAGGCTAAACACCAGTTATGTTTGACAAATATATATACGTTTTATTGTCACATACAGTACACTGGATAGGTGTAGTGAAATGTGTTGTTTTACAGGGTCAGCCATAGTAATATGAATGAACCGTGCCTCAAGTATGTGGACAGAATCAAGGCTTTAGCCTTTAGCTTGATTCTGTCACAAGACCGGAGAGTCAAGGACAGTGCCTGTTGCGCACCGCACATCACCCACCTTAAATCTGAGCAGAGGCAGTCAGCATGTTGAAACTATTTAACCATAAACTTCATTGTTTTAAACCTGGACTTTTTAAGTCATTTTATGAAGTATGTCTTACCTTGTTTCAAAGTAGCCTAGCCTAAAATACGACCATAGGAATGTTCAGGGGATTATTTTATAAACACTTATATGGCATTGAAACCAGCATTTGTTTTTGATGTCCTATTGGTTTTCAAATCAAGGTTATTTTATTGTCCAGCAGCCAAAGGCAGAATCCTAGTCATATTAGTAACCCATGCTAGCTGATGCATCTTTAGATCGCCCCTTTCTTAATTTCTAACGGATATTTTCCCGCTAATTGCATTTTGGAACATTCGCGTGTAGCCTATAGCCATGTGCGCATTGTTGAGCTTACAGTGGGGGAAAAAAGTATTTAGTCAGCCACCAATTGTGCAAGTTCTCCCACTTAAAAAGATGAGAGAGGCCTGTAATTTTCATCATAGGCACACGTCAACTATGACAGACAAAATGAGAGAAAAAAATCCAGAAAATCACATTGTAGGATTTTTTATGAATTTATTTACAAATTATGGTGGAAAATAAGTATTTGGTCAATAACAAAAGTTTCTCAATACTTTGTTATATACCCTTTGTTGGCAATGACACAGGTCAAACGTTTTCTGTAAGTCTTCACAAGGTTTTCACACACTGTTGCTGGTATTTTGGCCCATTCCTCCATGCAGATCTCCTCTAGAGCAGTGATGTTTTGGGGCTGTCGCTGGGCAACACAGACTTTCAACTCCCTCCAAAGATTTTCTATGGGGTTGAGATCTGGAGAATGGCTAGGCCACTCCAGGACTTTGAAATGCTTCTTACGAAGCCACTCCTTCGTTGCCCGGGCGGTGTGTTTGGGATCATTGTCATGCTGAAAGACCCAGCCACGTTTCATCTTCAATGCCCTTGCTGATGGAAGGAGGTTTTCACTCAAAATCTCACGATACATGGCCCCATTCATTCTTTCCTTTACACGGATCAGTCGTCCTGGTCCCTTTGCAGAAAAGCATGATGTTTCCACCCCCATGCTTCATAGTAGGTATGTTGTTCTTTGGATGCAACTCAGCATTATTTGTCCTCCAAACACGACGAGTTGAGTTTTTACCAAAAAGTTCTATTTTGGTTTCATCTGACCATATGACATTCTCCCAATCCTCTTCTGGATCATCCAAATGCACTCTAGCAAACTTCAGACGGGCCTGGACATGTACTGGCTTAAGCAGGGGGACACGTCTGGCACTGCAGGATTTGAGTCCCTGGCGGCGTAGTGTGTTACTGATGGTAGGCTTTGTTACTTTGGTCCCAGCTCTCTGCAGGTCATTCACTAGGTCCCCCCGTGTGGTTCTGGGATTTTTGCTCACCGTTCTTGTGATCATTTTGACCCCACGGGGTGAGATCTTGCGTGGAGCCCCAGATCGAGGGAGATTATCAGTGGTCTTGTATGTCTTCCATTTCCTAATAATTGCTCCCACAGTTGATTTCTTCAAACCAAGCTATTGCAGATTCAGTCTTCCCAGCCTGGTGCAGGTCTACACTTTTGTTTCTGGTGTCCTTTGACAGCTCTTTGGTCTTGTCCATAGTGGAGTTTGGAGTGTGACTGTTTGAGGTTGTGGACAGGTGTCTTTTATACTGATAACAAGTTCAAACAGGTGCCATTAATACAGGTAACGAGTGGAGGACAGAGGAGCCTCTTAAAGAAGAAGTTACAGGTCTGTGAGAGCCAGAAATCTTGCTTGTTTGTAGGTGACCAAATACTTATTTTCCACCATAATTTGCAAATAAATTCATAAAAAATCCTACAATGTGATTTTCTGGATTTTTTCTCAATTTGTCTGTCATAGTTGACGTGTACCTATGATGAAAATTACAGGCCTCTCTCATCTTTTTAAGTGGGAGAACTTGCACAATTGGTGGCTGACTAAATACTTTTTTTCCCTACTGTATAATATGAATAAATACAACTTTATCAACATTTTATGCTAAATGGTCTGATCTGTCGCATTAGCCTCATTGCTTAATTTCTTTATTTTTACATGTTTCAATGTGCAGTGGTAGTATGAATTTTGGATCTATCATCCCAGGGTGTTTTGAACCAAAGACATATTTATCGTCCCTGGGATGACGGGATGTCCTTAATGTCAAGCCCTGGAGGGAATTATTTTATAAAGACATAAGAAGTATTTGGTTGTAATTTATAGACTACCAAGGGTGGCCAACCATCCGCCAGGAGAGCCTTAAAGGGGCAGTGTTGTATTTTGAGACAGGTTTGAATAGGTAGAGTGTAGCCTACATTGTCTGATTCTCTATGGTAAAAAAGATAGTAATGTATTTTGTAAAGTGTTTCCTTGCATCATACAATGGTGTTAGACTTTTTTTTGGGGGGGACAAGTGACTTAAGCTTTTAGACAAGTAAAAAAACAACATCCTACTTTTCTAAAAGACAAGTGGCTAAAGAAATTAATGTCAAGCCCTACAATCTCTCGTAGGAGGCATGAGAATGAGCAACCCGTCGATGGTCCCCCCTGGCCCCGGTATGTCTGGTCAGGCCATAGTCCCCAGCAGCAGTGGACAGATGCACCCCAGACCCCCATCGCAGACTGGTGAAGACATACTTGCTTAATAACCAACCAGTTAACTCATTCACACATCCAAAATATATGCAACTTGTTCAAAGGTAGTGAACATATGTTTTTTTCCCCTCCTTCAGATGCAATGGACCCCATGATGTCTTTACAGCAGCAGCAGCAGCTTCAACATCCCCAGGCTGGTCTCCACAGCCAAGGCCCCATGCCCCCCCAGGCAGCTCACCACATTCAGGTATACAATCACTAATGGCGCTCAACAATAACCATGCATTATAATCACTATCAATACTACCACGTAATGCAAGGATCAACTGTATCAGGAGTTGACTGTATTTTGACCACAGGTCATGCAGACAGGGAGGCAGCTCAACCCAGCCGCCCTCCAGCAGCTGCAGCAGGCCCAGCAACAGGCCCAGCTCTCCCAGCTTGGTGGCCCCCGTCCCCCTTTCCATCCCTCTGGCCAGATGCCTGTACCCTCTGGCTGGAACCAGCTCCCCTCAGGGGTCCTCCAGCCCCCGCCAGCCCAGGGAGGACCCATGGGCCCAGCCTGGAGGAAGGCCCCTCCCCAGGCCCAGATGGGTCAACGTCCCCCCTCCCTGGCTACGGTGCAGACCCCCAGCCACCCTCCACCTCCGTACCCGTTTGGTAGCCAGCAGGCTGGCCAAGTGTTTAATGCTATGGGGCAGCTCCAGCAACAGCAGCAGCCAGGGGCTGGTCAATTTGCTGCCCCCCAGCCTAAAGGTCTTCAAGGTGGGCCTGGAGGGGTGGCAGGACTCCCTAGACCTCCACCACCTCTGCCTCCGTCAGCAGGGCCTCAGGGTAACCTCACAGCCAAGTCCCCTGGGTCTTCATCTTCCCCCTTCCAGCAGGGTTCTCCAGGGACTCCTCCCATGATGGGTCAGGCCCAGCTAGGCCCGCGACCTACGACCCCACAGGGTTTCCCTCAAGGGGTGGGCTCACCGGGCAGGGTGGTGCTGGGACAGCAGGGTAACATGCAGCAAGGGTTCATGGGAATGCCCCAACATGGGCAGCCTGGACCTCAGGTTCATCAAGGAGGAATGGGAGGTAAGAAACTAAACCATTGCAGATGACTACAAATGATTCATTCACTTTCATAGAGTATGTTTGTTGCATGGCCACAGATGATCTCCTGAAGTATTACCTGTGTAGTTAGAATTGCTGGTATCTAGGGATGTGACGGTATTTTGATATTTTTTCCATGGCAAAAATGGAAACACGAAGCAGATAACGCTCTGGTCCTTTCAAAACCTGTATGTAAAATATTGTGTGCTATAGCTGGATGACAGCATAATGATGCTTGTTTCCAACATTAGGGAAGTTTTCCTAAATTAATGAAATCTGCTTTGTGTTTTGTTTCCTTGCCACGATACTAGCGAGTATCATTAAACTGGTATCGTCCCGGCCCTACTGGTATCACAATTCACGCTTACCTCAAAGTAGTGCTCAGACAGTTACAGTGTAATACAGACTCACTATAATGACCGTGTTAGCTGGGCTGATGAAGTTCCCCATGCTGATGTTTGATCACAGGCATGCCCAAACGTCTGCCCATGGGGTTCCCTAGCGTCTCAGGGAACCAGAACTTTGCCCAGGGTCAGGTGACTAGCGCCCCAGGAACCCCTGGGGGAGGACCCACTCCGCAGCTCCAGAGCAGCCAGGCTATGGCCCACACAGGTACAAAGAATAGAATAGATCAGCACATACCTTTCAGATATGCTGTATACCATAGAAAAAGGCTTAAGAGCAGACAACACAGTGATATGATTTAGGCTGCATTCGTCAGTGTCATTCTTCTGTCACGATCTGATTTCAGGAGCCCAGTCGTCAGCCTCCATCCCCAACACCATGCAGGGTCCGTCCCACTCCCAGCCCAAAGTCATGGGCCTCCACAGTGGCATGGCTGGCCAGCCCCAAGGCACCAACTCCGGGCCCAGTATGAGCCAGCCCCAGCCCGGCCTCCAGTCCCAGATGATGGACCTCCAGGGCCAGCCCGTGTCCTCGTCCCCCAGCCAGATGGTCCAGGGTGGGGGTCCGGGGCAGACAGTACTCTCTAGACCCCTCAACCCAGGGCAGAGAGGAGGCATGACCCCACCCAAACAGCTGATGCCACAGCAGGGCCAGGGGGTGATGCACGGCCAGGGCCAGATGGTTGGAGGGCCGGGGCACCAGGCGATGCTCCTACAACAGCAACAACAACAAAACTCCATGATGGAACAGATGCAACAAATGCAAGGAAACAAGCAGGCGTTTGGGTTGAAAGGTCAAGCTGGGGTCATGCCAGGTCAGATGATGCGGGGTCCGTCTCCTAACGTGCCCGGTAACATGGCTCAGTTCCAGCAGGCTCAGGTGGGCCAACAGCAGCAACCTATGACTCCACAGCAGCAGCATCAACAGCAGCAGCAAATGGCTCAGCTCCAACAGTTACAACAGCAGCAGCTACAACAGCTACAACAGCAGCAACAACTTCAACAACAACAGATGACTCAGCAGCAGCCCCAACAGGTATTTAATTCATTTTTTTCATTTTTTATTTGCACGGAAAACCATCCACCAATTTTACTTCAGGGTAGCATTAAGGGTATTATTTAACTCGCTCATTCCTTAATTTTTTCAGGTCCCCATTGGTGGCAATCCCAACCAGGCCATGGGTATGCACGGTCAACAGATGAGACTCCCCAGTGGTCATCCTCTGGTCCAGCAGCAGCTACAGCAGCTCCAACAACAACAACAACAAAAACAACAACAAGCCATGCTGCAACAGCAGCAGCAACAACAGGTGGCGCAGCAACACCCACACGCTATCGGAGACCCCAGTGGTGCTACAGGCGACATGGGCGGTGTCCAACAGATGCTCCCGGACATGCAGGGTCAGCAGCAAGGCATTATGGGAATTGGAGGCCCTCAGCACATGCAGGTGGGCAATGGCCACTTCCCGGGTCACGGGATGAACTTCAACCCCCAGTTCGGGGGTCAGATGGCCATGGGAGGGCCATGTGCTCAGGCAGGGGGGTTTCCAGTGAACAAGGATGTGACGCTGACCAGTCCTCTCCTGGTCAATCTGCTTCAGAGTGACATCTCTGCCAGTCAGTTTGGGCCTGGGGGGAAGCAGGGGACTGGAGGACCTGGTCAGGCCAAACCCAAGAAGAAGAAACCACCACGCAAGAAGAAGCCCAAAGTAGGGGAGGGACAGCAGCCGGTCGAGGGGCTAGGGTAAGTTTATTGAAATCAAAAGCAATACTGAACAAAAATATAAATGGAACATATAAAGTGTTGGTCCCATGTTTCATATGAAACATGAAATAAAGATCTCAAAAAATTTCCATACGCACAAAAAACGTATTTCTGTCAATTGTGCACAAATTTGTTTACGTCCCTGTTAGTGAGCATTTCTCCTTTGCCAAGATAATCCATCCACCTGACAGGTGTGGCATATCAAGAAGCTGATTAAACAGCATGATCATTACACAGGTGCACCTTGTGCTGGGGACAATAAAAGGCCACTCTAAAATGCCACAGATGTCTCAAGTTGAGGGAGTGTGCAATTGGCATGTTGACTGCAGGAATATCCACCAGAGCTGTTGCCAGATAATTTAATGTTAATTTCTCTACCATAAGCCGCCTCCAACGTCGTTTTAGAGAATTTGGCAGTTCGTCCAACCGGCCTCACAACAGCAGACCACGTGTAACCACGCCAGCCCAGGACCTCCACATCCGGCTTATTCACCTGAGGGATCGTCTGAGACCATCCACCCGGACAGCTGATGAAACTGAGGAGTATTTCTGTCTGTAATAAAGCCCTTTTGTGGGGAAAAAATCATTCTGATTGGCTGGGCCTGGCTCCCCAGTGGGTGGGCCTATACCCTCCCAGGCCCACCCATGGCTACGCCCCTGCCGAGTCATGTGAAATGTAGGGCCTAAGATTAGGGCCTAATGAATTGATTTCAGTTGACCGATTTCCTTATATGAACTGAAATTCATTAAAATTGTCGAAATTGGTGCAAGTTGCGTTTATTTTTGTTCAGTATATATTCGCACAAGGTATTCGTTATTGGACATGGTTTGTCATCAAGGTATTCTTCTTCTCTCCTCAGGGGTCTGGATGTTGGGACTGGCCTGGAGGACCCAGAACTGCCAGGGCTGAGTGGGGAACAGGGAGTGGGCATGGACCCCTCCGGACCCAAACTCTCAGACTTCACCAACAGGCCTGCAGGTATGCAGTTTGAATGTTTCTTTGCTCACTCACACTTTTTTATATTTTAGTTGAGTGGCTTTTTATCAATCCTTCTGTCATGTCAGGTTTCCCAGGTCAGCCTGGAGACCAGAGAGTCCTACAGCAGGTGCCCATGCAGTTCATGCAGCAGCAACAACAACAACAACAACAACAGCAGCAACAACAACAACAGCAGCAACAACTGCAACAGCAGCAACAACAGCAGCAGCAGCAGCAACAACAGCAGCAACAACAGCAGCAACAACAGCAGCAACAACAACAGCAACAACAACAGCATCAACAACAGCAGCAACAAATGCAGCATATGCAGCAACAGCAAATGCAGCAACAGCAAATGCAACAGCAAATGCAACAACAACAACAACAACAACAACTACTACAACAACAGCAGCAGATGCAGGGACTGCAGGTTCCTCCTGGACAGCAGCAGGGGGTGGCTGGAGCTCAGGGTCCGGCTCAAGGCCAGCCACAGATGCACCCTCATCAGCAGCAACAACAACAGCAGCAGCAGCAGCAACAACAACAACAACAACAACAACAGCAACAACAGGTATAATGTACTGCCAATGTGTACTTGCTGCTTCCAGGCTTGCGTGTGTGTGTGCATGTGGTCAAAAGACACATTTTCCATTTTGACTATGGATAATATAGATAATTGGTTCCTTGTTGTGTTAAAGCAGCAGATGCTGATGATTATGAAGATGCAGCAGGAGCAGGCTAAGAGCCGGATGCCCCTCCCTCCAGGCGGGCAGTACGCCCCCAGGGGCATGGTGAACCCCGGGGAGGCCCAGAGGATGCCCGGTTCCCAGCAGGGCAACATGCCTGTCATGATCAACCTCCAGGGGCACGGAGGAGTGCCTCCCTCTCCAGATAAACCCAGAGGGATGCCCCTCATGGTCAACCCACAGGTTGGACACACTATCTGGATGCTTGAAATGTGTATATATCATATTTATTGTTATTGTCTTGTGAATGTTCTATGCTTATTGAATTTGTCTGTGTATAAATAAAGTGTCCTGTTTTTCTTGCTCTACCTATGTAGATGGCTGGGGCAGCCAGACGAATGTCTCACCCCGAGGCAGGGCAGGGTCCCCAGTGTACTGGGGCTGAGGAGGCCCCTGGAGCGGCCAACTCCCTGCAGGACAGACCCGGGGGCCAGGAGATGGGGATGCCGCCTGGGAACGGGGCCCAACAGATGGTGGTGAACCAGGGCCCCAACACCCACATGATGAAGCAAGGCCCCGGCCCCTCACCCCAGCACCCTGGAGCAAGCCCCCAGCAGCAGATGCCCCCTCAGCCCCAGCAGGGTGGCCCCATGCCAGGCCTCCACTTCCCTAACGTCCCCACCACTTCCCAGAGCTCCAGGCCCAAAACACCCAACCGGGCCAGTCCCAGGCCCTACCACCATCCTCTCACCCCAACCAATCGTCCACCCAGCACTGAGCCCTCTGAGATCAACCTCTCCCCTGAGAGGCTGAACGCCTCCATTGCAGGTCTGTTCCCCCCCAAGATTAACATCCCTCTGCCCCCTAGGCAGCCCAACCTTAGCCGGGGCTTCGACCAGCAGGGTGGGCTCAACCCCACCACTCTCAAAGCCATAGGGCAGGCCCCTCCCAGCTTAACTCTGCCCAGCAACAATGGAAGCGGTGGAGGTAACTCTAATAACGGTCAGCAGTCTTTCCCTACAGGCAGTGGAGCTGCCAACACGGGCCAGGGCAAACCGGACAAGCAGTCTGGAGGAGGTCAGGCTAAAAGAGCCAGTCCCAGTAACAGCCGCAGATCCAGCCCTGCCTCCAGCCGCAAAGTCACTAACCCCAGCCCAGGGAGGCAGAAGGGGACCAAAATCACCCTCCCATCCCCCTCTCACCAGCAACAGATGGTCAACCCCCAGACAGGGCAGACCATGATGCTGAGCCCCACCCTGGTGCCTTCTAGACCGGTCTCTCTCCCACCAGCAGCGGGGGTAGGCCTGGAGCCCCAGCAGATACAGACCCCCTTCCAGGGGATGCAGGGTAACCCAGCTGAGATGCCCAGGGAAGGGCAGGGAATGGCAGGTGTAGAGCACCGGCAGATGCCCCAGCCTCTGAGGGAGCTCTCCGCCCCACGGATGGCTAGCCCTCGTGTAGGCACTCCTCAGGAGGCTAAAGCTGGGCTGGAGCAGACAGTGGTGACAGGGGAGAGGCAGCCTGTACAGAGCACTCCTCAGCAGGGGTCTGGATCTGAGGCCTCTCCTGCTCTCAGGGATGCGCCTACCTCCCTCAACCAGCTGCTGGATAACACAGCCACCCCCAGCGTGCCTCCCAGGCCCACTCAGAGTGCTCCGGCTGGGGATGCTGCCTGCAAGGAGAGCACTAAAGCCTCCATAGTTTCAGAGAACCCATCCAGTTTTTTTCAGAGCTCGGATGTAGGGGCTACCACTGTTGCTACTACTGCTGCTGTGAACGAGCCAGAAGCTAAACCCAAGCCTAGCTCAACCCCCAGCCCAAAACTCCCAAATCCAGTCGGTAGTCCTAACCTGCAGCGCAACGCAAATACCAATCTGAATGCTAATCCCGGCCCTAGCCCCAATCTAAACCCAACTGACAGCCCCAACCTAAACTCTAACTCTAGCTCCAGTATCAAGCCTAGCACCCCTAACGTAAACCCTACCACTACCACCGGCCCTACTCTAAACCCTACTCCTATTCTCAGCGTCAGTGTGGGCGCCAGCGTCAGTCACAGTAGTCCCCTCCCCAACGTTATCCCCAGCCCCAAACCTAACCCAAACCCTGCCGTTAGCCCCAAACCAACCCCCAGCCCCAAACCTAACCCAAACCCTGCCGTTAGCCCCAAACCAACCCCCAGCCCCAAACCTAACCCAAACCCTGCCGTTGGCCCCAAACCAACTCCTAGCCCTAAGCCCCCGACCAATGTCCCCACTGTCCTGCAGATCCCTTCATCATCTGCCACCATCTCCCCCAACCAGATCAGTTACACCTCCGCCCCAGCTCCCACCCCCCAGGCCCCCGCAACCGTCGTCTCCGCTATGGTGGCCATGCCCAATAAGAACATCCGACCCCAGCAGACCAACCAGCAGACACGTGGCCCCCGCCCCCCGTTCATCACCACGCCTGTGTTTATTAACACCGGTACCGCCATCTTCCAGGTCCCTACATCGTCTGTGGCACCCAACACCACGGTGGTGTCCCAGCCGGTCACCATGGTAAAGCCCATACAGGTGTCCACCACTAACATCCAGCTCACCACTGCTCCAACCCAGGCCCAAGCCCCGGCCTCGACCCAGGCTGCTGTGGTCAGTGTGGCTAGCTCCCAGCCTGCCCGAACGCTAGTTGGGCAGGTCCAGATGGCCACTAGACGGGCTTCCCCTGTCCCTGTTAGTACCCTGCCTCGTCCTCAGCAGCAAAGCCCTGGCACTCCCAAGTCGGAGACCCCGGGTGAGGCGCCCCCTGGCCAGAAATCGAGCCCATCCCCCCGTCCCAGCCCCTCTCCCACAGCCTTGGCGTCTGCTTCATCTCCCGTCCAGCAGCCCCTAGCGTCCCCTCCATGCTCCAGTCTTGGTGCCCCAACCAGCACCCGGAAGAGCCCTATGTCCCCCACCTCTGCTTCCCAGGGAAAGCCTGCCCAGGCTCCTGGCTCTGCACCAGTGGGTAATCCACCAGACTCCCAGCAGTTTGCTGAGGCACGGTCTGCCCAACCTTTAGAGGGGACTTCCCATCCCCAGAGGGGGCCGAACTGGGCTGTGCCCCCTCACGCCTTCCCTCCACCCCCTGCATCTGTCACCCAGACTCAGGCCACAGTGTCTGGAGCGCAGACTCGGACCACAGCTGCTGCTGTTCCTCTGAAAGTCACCACTCCTCCTGTATCAGCTCCAACTCCTGTCCCTGCTCAACCTGCTGCACCAGCCCAGTCCCCTGTTCCTGCCTCTACTCCCACCACCCCTCCCCCAGTGTCAGTCCCTGTCACCACCCCAACCCCTACTACTGCCCCTGTTACGTCTGTCCCTGCTCCTCCTTCAGCCTCAGTCCCAGTCCCAAGTCTGTCCCCATCCACCTCTCCTGTTGCTGCCACCCCTGGACCCTCCAACCCCCCCGGGGACTCCCCAGCCATATCCTCCCCAGTGGCCCCTACCCCTATGGGGGCTCAGCCTGCCCCCACAGCCATGGAGCCTCCCAGCCAGCCAGCCCCACCAGAGCCCCCAGCACCTGCAGACAACACCCCAGGTACATATCAATCGATCGATCAATCAATGATTTGATTGAGTGACTTATCCCCCACATATCAAACTTTGACTGATAATAATAACCTCCACCATGTCCTTTCTCCCAGTGTCAGTCCAACCTGAACCTCCACAGCAAGAGGAGCCTGCTGCTACTGAGAAGACTGGTAAGTACTGTCACACTAACTTATCTGTAACAAAATGGTTAATGCTCCGGCCCCTTTATGTAATGACATGGTCATGACATGATATGGTATCTTGGTAACAAAGCACAAATGGGAACATCCATAATGTATGCAAAGATTGTGGTAGATCATGAGGGCACCATAAAATGTAAATACTAGAGCAAGTTATTCATGCAGGCTGTGCTGATCTAGGATCCGTTTTTGCCTTGAAGATCATAATGAATAAGGTTATTTGGACAGATCCCAGAGCAGCGTTAGCCAGGTTGCCAGTCTTTTTAGCTAACATTCCACTCTGAACTTCATGTCATGTGCCATATGTTTGGGCGTGGCCAATGGCGCAGTTTTAGAGGCCCTTCTCTTGGCCGCAGAGACAACATTTTGCTGTTTTTAAAAGCTAATTTCCTGCAATTCTACACGTTTTGCCATGGCTGATGCCTTGTTCTTATGCTATCTGAGTGACTCAAGCATTATAACAGGCAATGCCATGACATTTTGGGAATTTCAGATTCACCTTTTTATTTGGGTGATTGTTAGTTCTCAAACATTATCTTATTTAAAAAGATAGCTATATTATATTTTCTACATAATCTGGTTTTGGTCATTTAAATTTACACTGAAAACGTTTTACCATCCTGATTTTCTTTGGGCCGGCCACGATTTAGCAGCGTTGGTGCAGATACCCTGTATGCTGTGAACATAATATGCCCTTTGCTGTGATATTTAGTAACTTTTTTGTTTGTCTTTTTTCCCTCTACAGCAGAAGAAGTTGCCACAGTAACCGAGCAAGGGTGAGGTTATCAAAAGAGATTTCAAACTAACACATGAAACCCTGTTCTTTTTAATGTCAGTATGAAATAAATACTTGTCATGCCAGGGGTGATTGGGATATTCCATTGCCTTTTAAGGTTAACATCAGTATTAAGTAGTTGGCCTAGTCTGCAGTAAGTGCCATGTTTGTAAACAGAAATGTAACTCTACTGAAACTCAGGGAGTTTATTTGGTTGGCCAGGGCAGGGGGGTACATGGCGAAACCCAATGAGCCACGTGGCCTCAGCACTTGGTATGTATGCTTAGCATGCAAACTATATCCAAACTTAATGCATGTCAAAAGACGACACAAGCACTACCACTCCATAAAAACTTGACTTTACAAATTGAGTAATGAATGTGGCCATGTCTGATGATGATGATGATATTTTCTGGGGATGATTATAATCATTAAGAGTATGTTGGGGGACTAAAACCATGTTTGTTCAGCATCATCACAGTTTAGTTTACCGCTGTTTTTCCACTTCTATCACAGATGGGCAAAGAAAAGAAAGACTCCAGTCAACTTAGTCCCCAGGTATGTATTTACACGCGTGAGTGCTGCCAGGACGCACGCAGCAGCCCTGTCTTGTCCACCATTTCGTTATCTATCGGATACCGTTTGGGGTGAAGACGGACAGTATCTGTGGTAGACGAGGAAAAACAGCCCAGTCCGAAGCGGTTTTCCCAACTGTGGAATACCGGAGTGGTATTCCAACTTTCACTGAGTAGCTACTGTAGAGTTACTCTTTTTATTATCTCTGTAAATGACCTCTCCTGCTTTTCTTGTCTCTCTCTCCCCTGTTGTCCGTGGCTCTGTTTTCTGTCGGGAATCTATCAGGGCTGCCGTGGAGAAGCCGAAAGGTCCCAGCAGACGGAGCTCGCGTGCTGAAAAGGAGGTGGAGGAGGAGACGGTGGCAGACAGCGTGCAGAGGAAGAGACCAGCCAGGCCTGGAGCCAGCGCTGTTGTCGCTGCTAAAGGTACACACACATATACAGTACACTACAGTACACACACTTCCCACTGATTGAGGACATACACACACACACTCTCACACATAACTTACTATTGCATAGCTTAAGTTGTTATTTAAAGTTCTTTGTCTCTTCAAACATGTCCCCCTCTCTCTTTCCTCTGTGTCCTTTCAGAAACAGGTGCCAGTCCAACCCAGGCTAAGAGAAGGAAGTCTAAATGACCACAGTAGTGAAACCCTGTGAACTCAACTGTAAATGTATTTTTCTCTGTCAATCATTCGATTATCTTTTTTTCTCCCGGATTATAAATTCTCAATGGAGAAAATAACCATGTACAGATAATTGTTTGAAAATAATTATGTTGTTGATGTTTTGTCCCCGCTATCATGTGAGGTTGTAGCTAGTGTGTGTGTGTGTGTGTGTGAATACGTTTGTGAGTTTTGTTTTAAAAAATAATGCTGGGTTAATCATGTGAAGACTGATAATTGAACGTGTCTCAATTGTATAATTGTTGTAAAACGTAATAAAATGTTCTGCTACTTAATTGTCCTGGTTTAATGTGTTGTACTTTCAAAGTTTAACTGACATTCTGTGAAAAGTTCACACGTAAAAGTGGCCTACATCATGAATGAATTGTTCCATTTTATACTATTTTGTTAGGACTGAATACTGTCCCGTTTGAAGGGCTGTTTGACAAGAGTATTTTCTATAGTCTATATCCTACTGTTAATCTATCATAGAGAGGTCTTACGACAAATCAGGGAACGTTAACTATTGTAGTGAGGAATCATGCAGGACAGCAGGCAACATTTATTTTTCATTATTTAAATGTATTTGAGCATGCGCAGTTGCAGAGAATTCGGACTTAGCCCAGTGCGCAACGACTCCATTCCACAGTCTATCCAGACTACTCTGTCAACCTCATCTTCTTACCTTGGGCATCCCTGCCTTGTGTATTTGGCTTTACAAGACAATGAGCGGGGATCACGGTGAAAGAGACTCGCAGGTAGTGTTATTATGCTGCTCGAGAGGATGGAGGCAGCTAGTTATTTGCATTATGTGACAGTTGGTTTGGTTGACTAGATAATGATAAAATTACATTAATGTGATTGCATGGATACAATCGATAGGCTATGTTAACAAGTTGTATTAGTTGTCTTTCAAGTAGCAACTTTGTTTTAAATATCACAAGCGATCCCTGGGCTTTTTGTAGAATTTCTCATATTTCTCTGTCTGAAACTTGACATTCTCCTTTCTACCGGCATACAGAAAATATAAACATCTATTTAATATCTTTTTAACATTTTGCAGGTCAATTCTGGGTCTCGAGCCAATGGTAAGTTGTTTTTAACCGCAAAATAAATATTTATCAAGATTTTGCTTGTGATCAACTCGTTATCTTCATTTGTCTACTGTTAGTTTTTAAAGGACAGAAATGGCGTCCCAGAGACTAAGTCCCTTCTCCTCCACTCTCTTGTGTCTATTGTTCAAAAAGAGGGCCTCAAAATTACCCTTTCGATATATAATATTTCGATCTGAGAGGAAATTCTGGCAGTGCATTACACCGTGTTTCTCAAATAGACAATTGTTTGTTTATGTTGTGGTGCAACAATGTAAAATTTTTGAGCCGAAAGTAGTGAAATGGGGGTTGAGGACTTAGTCTCTGCGCCATTTTCTTTTTCTCTGTCTAGCAGCCAGTGCGCCGAGCACTGATAGAACAGTTGGCCGTGATATGGAGGCTAGAGCTGGGAGTTCATCGGCCTCTCCCACCCCATGGCTCCTGGCACAATCGCTGCAGACATTACTGCCACTACATGTCATCTGTCAAAGATAGTTGCTTTATTGGAAATGCATGTTTTAAATGTTGTTATTGCTTGTTGCATTTGTTAGTCAACTTTGGGAATGGTTTCTGGAAATTATAATGGAAATCTGCCGGCATAATAATAATAATAATACTGTAATAACATATATTTTAAAAGAGGGGAGGTGGGGAGGGTGTATCAAGTGCACACACCTTTGACAACTCAACATTTCATTTGTAAAATAATTAAACAGTCATGGAAATGTCTCCTGAGTGGCGCAGTGGTCTAAGGCACTGCATCGCAGTGCTAGCTGTGCCACTAGAGATCCTGGTTCGAATCCAGGCTCTGTCGCAGCCGGCCGCGACTGGGAGACTCATGGGCGGCGCACAATTGGCCCAGCGTCGTCCAGGGAAGGGAGGGAATGGCCGGCAGGGATGTAGCTCAGTTGATAGAGCATGGCGTTTGCAACGCCAGGGTTGTGGGTTCGATTCCCACGGGGGGCCAGTATAAAAAATAAATAAAAAATATTCACTAACTGTAAGTCGCTCTGGATAAGAGCGTCTGCTAAATGACGTAAATGTAAATGTAAATGTAAATGGGACAGAGATATGGTAGTGGGAGCATGTTATTGTTTCCTATGACAATAGCCCCCCTACCCGTTATTTAACTGCCATGACAGAGGGACGCCACAAGGTGACGTTCAAGCTCAAGACTGACAGTTATATGGGCCCACCCTCTGACAAAGCCACCACTAATTGGGAGTTTTTCACACTTTTGTTCAGGGGGGATAAAAAAATAGCCAAAATAGATGGCCCACTTATTGAGGAATTATAGAATGTCTCAAATGATAACCTGCTACTCCCAATGCACCACTTCTGACCAGCCGCACATAGACTATTGTGCACCACTAGAGGAATAGGGTAGCCTATCATTTAAGACAGGGGTATTCAACCTGGGGTCCGTGGCCCCCTGGGAGTCCGCCGTGGTACTGCAGGGGGTCTGCGAAAATACATGTTTTTATTGAAACGTTTTCATTAATATCGCTAGCAACAACAGAATAAACCTTTTTTTATTACAAACCTACAGTAGAAAAGAGGAGAATATATTATTTCTAATGATGTCAACTTTATTACTCAACTCCTAATATTTAGCAAATTACACTCGTTGGACCTAATTATACTCACTGGAGTATCTGTCATAGGCTTTGAAAAAGTGCCGCTGGCTGCTGGTAAGCTTTCTTGACTTTGACACTTCCTCTTCCAATTATAATGTGGGGAGGTCAAAACAATTAAAAACAATTAATTTTAAAATGTGTTTTACTTCTTGCCATTATAATTTACTTCATGATAAGACATATGATGGGGGTCCATGGGTCACCGGTTTTCCTGGCCAGGGGTCCCTGGACAAGAAAAGGTTGAAGACCTCTGATTTAAGATTTTACCTTAGACAGTGATGTAGTGGTAAAAAATAGGTGGGTAAACGCTGATTGCCAGACTGGATTACAGAGGTAAAGCTCCCTATACTTTCAATGCATTTTTCTGCAAAAGCTGGGTAAACGCTTACCCAAAAGAAAAAAAGACGCGTACTACACCACTGGCCTTAGTCTAGGGTTACATGTGATGTCAACTTGTGTTTCACAAGACCCAGCCAGTTGTGATGTTACCATCAACAGAGAACGTGCAGGCATGTGTGTGCGGGTGGTTCAGGCCTAGATGTCTGGGGTGCGTGTTGAGACAGGGCAGCAGCAGCAGTGTGGCTCTCTCATGTTTTGGTGTAATAACAGCGATATGCAGCCTCCATTTTTGGAAAGTAGACCCACTTAGATGTCTGAACCTCCCTCCCATCCCCACTCCCCTGGACCCACTTTCTTTCTCTTTGACACTCCCTGTGTGATCTAATATTGAGTTTAGACAGGTAGGGAGGGATACGCAAGGCTGGTTTTGACTTTCAATTGCCCAGTCCCGTTTCCGTACTTGATTTTACAGGTAATTCTTCACATTAAATGGTATGATACCGTTTAAGCTTTAAATTGTGGTGTAAGTACAAAGTAACTACACAGTAACTTGATAATCCAGCCAACTAATTTGAAAGAAAATGTGGCACTAAAGAGGCTGGGTTAGGGGCTGTTTGATGTTTAATATTGAACACCCTTGCGGTATGAGAAGTGATTCTATTGGTTGAACCTGCAGTTTGTGTTCATTACTATGTGACGCTGAAGACTTTAGCATATCCATACACTCTGTGCCACCAAGGGCCACAAAGTGCTCAGATTACACTGTGTGGTTACAGTTCCCATTGTCTGGGGGATCTCTACTAAACGAGTCAATCTCTAACTTTGTCCCAGACTCTCACAAACACAAGGACAAGCACAAAGACAAAGAACACAGGCACAAAGAGCACAAGAAAGACAAGGAGAGAGAGAAAGCCAAGTACAGCAACAGGTATGTTCCCTATCCCCTCCTCTCTTTGTCTTCCTCTGTCTCTTTTCTCTCTTAATTTTCTCACTCTCTTTGAAATAAATAATCCTACCACGTGGCAAGCCATGCCACTGTCATCTCCATCCCACCGATGGTTTCTCAGAAGTCTTTCCATGTTGTTCTCTCTCTCTCCTTCCTTCTCATTTCCCTTTTAGTTTGGTCTGTGGGAGAGTTCTGAGTAAACTGCCATTGCTGACCATAATACTTTGTGTTGTACAAGACCATAAAGAAAGACGACACAACATTACATCATACAACAGGATATCTTCATTTATTGTGCTGCCCCTATGCTATCTCTGTGCTGTCATACTATGCCTTCAGAACAGTGGCGGTCGGTGCCGTTTAAGATGAGGGAGGACCATTTTGTTTAATGAGCATGGCCTTATTTCTATTACAGCATATTGGATGACTGTCATTCATAATCCATTCACCCAGCTCAGTGTAACATTGATACATTTAGGCTACTACATGATACTCAAATTTTCCCTATATCCATCATGAGGTTGCTACAACCTAGCCTATGGATGAAAGTTTACATCATAGGTGCACAGGTCGAAAGAAATGTGAGTAATCAAGGTGACAGAAATTGACACATTCAATACTGCCTTGCACACTATTGCCTGCATCTAGCTGATCTAGGGTGTAATCATTAGTGCAACAGTTGCAAACGAAAGTTTCTATTGGACAAATTCAGGTATGTTTATCCCCGTTTCGTTCCATTTGAGAAACGTTTTTCAACAGAATCGGCAGAATGAATACGCCCCTGATCACACGTAAACACAGTTTACTTTCATAGCAGCCACATACAAACAGCATGATCACTTTGATTGTTGTATAATTCCTTATCGCATCTATGTTCTCTCTTCCTCTCACCTTTTCCCTTTGCTTGTGGACTTCAGTGCCCTTCACATCACCTGTCTGTGACCAGGCAAAAAAAACTTA